GTCGTCTTCGCCCAGGAGCTGGGCCTGAGCTTCTAGCGGTGAAGTCCCGCCACGGTGCGGCTCGGAACGACGTGCGGCTGCAGGCCGCCACGCGGCGCCGGTGCACCGGGTGCAGAGCTTGGGTGCGTTGCCCGCGTGCCGACGGCTGCTCGGGGAAGCACTCCAGCTTTTGGGGCTCGGAACGCCTCCTTTTCATCCGGCGTCAACCGAGCTTGCTGTCTTTCAGCGGTTTCCAATGCGAAGGCGCTGCCGTGCGCAAGGGCCTCGACGAGTCGCAAAATGCAACAAGGGCAGCCCAACGCTGCATCGGGCATGCCATGGCTACAGGCACAATCATTCCTGCTAGAACATGCGTCATGCCCCAGTCGGCGACCGACGCGCTTGGAGGCTCTGGTGGTTCCTCTCGCTATGTTCCTGTTCCAGCTGCCGGTGGTGTAAGTCTCACCGCGCAGGGCCACCAGTTTAGAAGGAGTCGCCCCGAAGTTGACACTGCCGGCTGCAATGAGACGCCTGAGTACGGACTGTACTGTACCGCAAGAAAAGGGGCGACGGGGGTCTTTGCCAGTCGGGCAGCTTCCTGAGTCTGATCATGCGTGCTGCTGGAGCATAAGAGCGCCAGGATGTAACCCAGGGCAACGCAGAGTGCTTGTCATGTTCACACATGTGTATGAAGAACATCAAGTTATCTCTTTGTTTCTCAACCTCAACCATGCCTCGCACCTGAAGGAGACTCCAAGCACACACACACACACACACACACACTGCCTGTGACCCTCCACTCACCAGTGGACCTTCTGTGAGACGACCTTATGAATATCCCTCAGTTGGGCCCAGTCTCGTGCACTCCCTGCCTGCAGCCTGCTGCTGCGTCAACGCCTGGAGATTCTGCAGCGCATATCAACTTGCGGAACCGGTACCTACGGCGGGCCGATTGCAACAATAGCCGTACTGGCTCTGCAGAAGCAAAAATGCCAACGGTAACAGGGATAGTGTTAAATGCGCGTCCTACATTCAGCACATCAGACCGACGCAGTTCTTGTGTAGCTTAGCTTTGAACTCTCATGAGAACTGCAGCATGTGGCAAGTGTGTTGTATTTCGCCCACATCTTTGGTTGACGCCACCACATGCTCAAGGTATGCTTGGCATGAAATCCAAAAGTACTCGTACAAAGCCGGCATTGTCAAGCAAACCTCGCAGGAAGACACACACGGTAGAGAGATCAAGCTGTGGGCAGAATGGTGCAGAATCCATCTCGAAGGTGAAGCCGTCGAGCTGAAGCCGGGAAGCATGTTTCTTACTTTAAAGAGAACCCTCAGACCCTGCAGTGCAAACCTTATCCTTAGACCCAATGTCCGGTGGTCACACAGATGGCACGATTGGTCCGCTTCCTGGAGATTTTTGGCCAGTGCAGTTTGACTGTGGAAAGCACATGTCACAAGCTGTTGGTTTGGGTTTTTGGTTTTACGATTTGGGCCCAAATTTCTTGCGTGTTAGCTGTGGCCCAAGGGTTTGAGTCCAGGGTTTTACTGTGTTTTGGGTCCAATAAAGCCCAACAGCAGAAAGGGGACGATACTTGAGATTGAACCTCGACTTGAAGTCCGAGATGGGAGCCAAGCTCAAGCCTTGGGTCAGCCGCCATCTCTCCCAACTCACATTCTGTTGCCCTACATACACCCTGACGGCGCGCATGTCATACACCCAGACGACTCGCATGCTGTGCATCATTGAAACATGTTCACTGTGGCGCAGCTTGAGCTTTCCACCTAGAAGTCCGTGGAGTGAAGGACGCTCTAAACCTGCCCTGCAAGGCTCGCTTCATGGGGAGAAGCCGTCCCAGCCATGCTAGAGCCTCATCCGGCATGGGTGAGGGCGCATTTCTGACAATACCTCGCCAGTTGCACAAGGCAAATGCCGGATACGGACACACGTGGTCTGCGTAAGGAGAGATTTGGCTGTCCACTACGTAGCTAGCCATCTTCATCCGCCTTTGTGGATGTCATAGAGTCATACTTGGCCCACCTGTGTGGCCGCTGCCCAGGGCTGCTAGCCGCTGACCGGCGGGTTGGCAGGGAGCTTGGTGAAGGATGAAGTTGATGAAGTAGATCTGGAGTTGGATTGAGATCGGCGAATTTCTTGCAAGCCCACGGCACGGATCCTGTTGTAGTTTACCTCAGGCTGCTCCTCTTGCTTTACGTAGAGAAAGAAAAAAACTCTCTACAGAGCAAACTGCACATGAACCACCAGTATGTGGATAGGCATTCACATCCCGATCCCAATCAAGTAGCAAGTCCTGGAGAGATCCCATGCATCCAGGCAGACCGAACGAATTCGAGAAGGACTCGCGCGTTGTCAGTGTCATTAGGGCGCCAGCAATTGAAGATGTGTTTTGGGATATAGCTGTGCTTACGTTGCAAACTAGAGCCCTGCAGGCACCGCAGTCGCAACAGGCCTGGATGCAAAACAAAAACTTGTCGGGTACTTGCAACATTCGTATGGAAGCAGATGCCCGGCGGAGGAGATGACTGCTGACCAACAGTCACAGGCGGAGGCCTGGGATTTAGTGTTCTTGATCTCTGTTGTGCAGGCTGGCTCTCAAACCCGAAGGCTTTCGTGAAATTAAAGCAATCATCAGGAATCCTGAACTTTAAGGCGTGCTCAGACTGGGCGGCTTCCAATTTTGTGTGATATTGGATCGGCCAGCCCAGCCAGCTGCTAGTTGCTGGGGTTGCAGGGTTCAGGATGGGGCATGGCTTCAAGATTTCTTAGAGGTAGGATGATATCCATGTAATCATCGATTGTGAGCCGGCCCAACTCACGCTCACTTCTGATGCACCACATCCGCTGTTCTTGATTCTCGTCATAGCCGGCCCAGCTTCAAAAAGGAATGCTAACCTGACCTAACCTGGTAATGAGCAAAGATTTGAAGATGGAACCGCAGCCCACAATACGAATTAAACCTCATAATGTCATAGAGCCCTCCCGGAAGCCTGCATAGCCCCCAGAATTACAAGCCGACTTCGTGCATTTGTTCTGAAAGTTTGGCGTTTGTCCCAAGTCTTGAGGATTGGACAGGACCGGGGCCCATCGGTCTTTAGAGATGAGAGATGTTGCGTGCCTCTATGCCAAAGGTCCCGAAACTAACTTTCAAGTTTTCTTCAGATTAAGTCATCCACCAGCCTGCCAGACGCCGTCAGTGCCACCTTTGGCTTCGGCGGGCTCCGCTTTGCATGGCACCGGCCCGAAAAATAAACCCATTCCAGCGTTTCAAGTGGTAGAGGTGCTGAGTTACAGGCTTGCGGATGACTGCGGATGGCTTGTCTGGTCTTGCTGTGATCGCCAAGTGCATCAGTCAGTAAATCAGTTTCAGTCAAATTGTCCCTAGTGCAAACGGCGGGGCTCATTTTCCTGGCGGATCTCAGTTTGTATATGGGACTATACTAGCCTACGTCCGTGCATCGGTCAAACTGTTTGCCGGTTTGTTTTCGTTCGCGTTTATGCCGAGCGAGGGGGTTCAGGGGTGTAAAGGCGGAGACTCCCATCCATTTCTGATGACATGCGTTTGCATCTCGCTTCCCCGTTTTTAGCATCCCCGCCTCCTAGCCTACAGTCCTTTGGCCGATGCCAAACATGTTCTATGCAGGATGGTGTGTTGCTATTTACACTTTCGGTACCATTCCTCTTCGGTTCGCAAAAGGCAAGAAAGAAGTTGCTGAGGAAGTGGCGAATGCAAGCCGTGCGCCTGGTACTGGCGTCGAGAAGGATGCCATCGCGGCAAGGTCAGCCTTATGCCGAATGTACGGAAGCCTCGGCTCCTAAATTTTGGGAAACGCATGTTGAGTGCCACTTGCGGAGTAAGATGTAAAGTCCTGCCAATTGGTGCAATTTGCCATCCTCGTCAGGACTGCGAGTTCTGCCACCTTTGTGGTGCTGGCGAGCTCAAAGCCAGGAAGAAAGCATGGGGCTCAATTCTTCGAAATGCGTACCGGTGTTGTCGTGGCTTCTGGCTGTTCCGATAGTTCGGTGTCAAATATTTGCGACTTGTCAAATCGAGGCGGTCAGGCGTGCAACAGCGCGGTGGCCCAGAGCATGTAACGGAGGTTAGAATGTTGAGACCTGTGTAACACGTGCTGGCTTGGTGGATGTCGGCCTCTCCACTTGGCCCCGCCCACGCCATGAGTGGGGAATGCGCAGCATTGGTGAAAAGAAACTAACAGTGAGTGTTATAGGTACACGCCCAAGGGTGGTCAGGTTCGGGGCATCCGCACAAGCCTGCGCCGCCGCGAATTCACCAGCGCCTGTCACAACAGTTCTTTCTCCGAGCAGCTTCCCTCGCGAATCATCCCGACGCATCCGGAAGCGCAAGGCTTTCAAAGGCGTCCCGCCCCAGCCAATCCCGTGCTGCGAGTTTGCGAAGTGAGCTTGGAAACATGATTTCCGAGCGATGGTTGTGGGGCTACAGCGCACTTTCCCAGTCAACCGTGTCCCATACTGTCAGCTTCCTGTCCTTCCCGAACATAGCCCCCCAGGACAAAGGAATGAGAAGAGGTGAGGTCGGGAAAGCTGTTGTGAATGCACCCTGACCTGAGCATGTGTAGAAGCCACGACCATGACATGCATGTATTGTACATATTTTCTTGTCCGCTGCCGTAGGGGCCCCTTGAGCACTTCAGTTCGCTTCGCAGTTCGGTGAAAAGTCCGCCAATTTCAAAGCTGTCATGAGTGACAGGGAATGTCATGGTCCCTACTTCCCTGGGTTTTTATCGCAATTCCCTTGCATGTTTGAGTATGGGGTAGCTTGTGCCAAGAATCTTGCAGGTCTCGACGTCTGAGTTGTTGGACAAGGTTCCGGCGGGAGCACACCGGAAGAACAGGCGCAAAGGCTAGGCTAAGGCCGAGGATGCACTGCCCATGCATGGACAATTGTGGACTTACAAGCTGGGTGTAGATGTTTGTGTGTGTGTGTGTGTGTGAATGGCCCTCTCGCCGGCAAAACCTTCGCATGAAGACGTTCACTCCGCTGCACTTGCAGCGATCAGATTTGCACGTGTTAGTTTCACAGCCATGTTCCGCTGGCAGACTTGACTTGTACATACAGGGGGAAGACGGCCAGCAGGGAACTGCAGATCCGGTCCGACTGTTAATCGTTATCTTCGCGGAGATTGGAATTGTTGTGCTCGGATTTGCATTTGCTAGGTTCGCAATCGCTTTGCTGCATTGCGCTTCGTGTCACCAACGGGAATAGAGGCAGCTTGTGGATGTTTGCATATGTGAGAGGGGAAAGTGTGCATGCCTCCGTGAGATTTTACCAAGTCTTCGGTGCAGGCTTGATGCTTTGATGACATCATTGCTCTACTTCATGGTGTAATCGGCATTGAAGAACCGACATTTGTAAGAGCTGAAGTTGGAGCACTGGCTCTGGGACTGCCAGAAGCAATACGAGCGGCATCGCCTGTCGGCGTACATGTCAATGTGCATGCTTATCGCGAAAGTTCGCGAAGTGCCTTCTTGCTGTTCAGTAGTTTTTCTTGCAAGAAGCATTCCTCACACACCACACATCTAGCCTAGGGTCACTTCGTGAAGCGCCTCCCTTTGATACACACCTCAAGTTGATTGGAAACGGTGAGGTGGGGGAAAGCATCGCCGAGACATTGGAGTGACTTCCGGATGTGTTCAATCTGTAGAACATGTGCTAGCGCTTCAATCAGATCCCTGTATGTAGGCTGCTTGTAGTCGGCGTTGCCGCCCCCGGGGTGTCTATAAATGAATCAAAAACCACGCTGCTTTGCGATGCCTTGCGGGTTTGGTGGGGGAAGGGCGTGAACTTGCACCATCACGCAGCTTTTGGGGCCCTTTTGCATCCGTTTGCATCTCGTGTCCGCAGGAGGCGAAGGCTGACACTTTTTCAGTGCTCATGCTTTCTGGCGGTCGTGAGTCCTGCACAGTCGCGCTGGATAGGCGAAAGTATGGGGCGAAACGGAAAAGGCCACAAGGCCTTGAGTCCGCAAAAGACGTGACTCGGCCGTCTGCAAGCGTGATGTGTCATGAGTGCCTTACGGACATGATGGTGTGTTGTTCAGGCAATCGCAAGGTTTTGGTGGCCGAAGAGGCCTTCGCCGTTAGTCTTGCTTCGTGATGTTCCTCCTTGCGCATGATGTCTGGATGAGGACATCGATGTGATCTTGTGCAGGGCCCAGAAGCAAACTTAGGCATTTTGAATTCGTGAAACTGCAAGTGCCGAACTCGCCGTGCCGCGCGATGAAAAGGCGTGCGTTGGATGAAGAGGAGCGGCAGCGACCTTGGGTGTTGCCCACCTTGCTATGATCCTGCGCAGACACGGCTGACTCGACTTGTTTTGAGGCTGCAAGCTGCGAGACGTGCTATGCGCTCAAAGAAGAGCATGGCAGTGGAGTTGAACCTCCGCCGCATTGCTAACATTTCGAGTTGGGGGCATGCGAAGCGAAGTTCAGTCTGTTGCAGCTGTTGTCTTGGATATGATGGAATCGGAAGAAATCTGACTTGATGCCGCGGATGTGTTGCAAACGGGGACCTTGGGTGCCGCTGTTCTTTGGATATGGGCGCACTTGAAGACGTGCGATTGCTTGCCGCCGTTGTTGTAGAGCGGGGGAGGGGGGGGGGTCGGATCTGCCGGCATTAGCACAACGTGTTAAGCTGTTGCTTTCAATGTGGGGCATGTTGGAATGTGGGGCACACGAAGAAGTTCCATTCGTTGAGTTGGATGTACGGCGCATGGGAAGAAGTACAATTTGTTGCCGCTACATTGTTGAAAGCGGGGCCTTGGGAGAAGTGCAAGTTGTTGCAGCTGTCGTTTCGGATATGGGGACATCCAAAAAGCACGATTTGTTGCTGCTTGGGTGTTTTGAGGATGCTCTTGCGAAGTCACGCCTGCCTACACACTCAGCAGCAGCAGAAGCAGCAGCCATCAGCAGTAGAAGCAGCAGCACCAGCAGCAGTCACAGCAGCGGTCGCAGCAGTAGTATTAGCAGTAGCAGCAGTAGTAGCAGTAGCAATAGTGGCAGTAGTGGTATTAGGAGTAGGAGTAGGAGTAGGAAGGAGTAGGAGTAGGAGTAGGAGTAGGAGTAGGAGTAGGAGTAGTAGTAGTAGTAGTAGTAGTAGTAGTAGTAGTAGTAGTAGTAGTAGTAGTAGTAGTAGTAGTAGTAGTAGTAGTAGTAGTAGTAGTAGTAGTAGTAGTAGTAGTAGTAGTAGTAGTAGTAGTAGTAGTATGTAGTAGTAGTATGTAGTAGTAGTAGTAGTAGCAGTAGTAGTATGTAGTAGTAGTATTAGTAGTAGTAGTAGTAGTAGTAGTAGTAGCAATAGCAGCAGCAGCAGTGGCAGTAGCAGTAGCACTAGTTCACTAGTAGTAGTCGCAGTATCAGTAGTAGCAGCAGCAGTAGCAGTAGTAGTGGCAGTGGCAGTGGTAGTGCTAGTGCTAGTGGTAGTGGTGGTAGTAGTAGTAGTCGTCGTAGTCGTGGTGGTGATGGTGGTGGTGGTGGTGGTGGTAGCAGCACGATTGTGGTTTTGTCATTGTAATAATTGTACTTGTACTTGTTCTTGTAGTACTATACTTGTACTCGTTGTCGTCGTCGTTGTTATTGTAGTTGTTGTCGTTGTTGGTTGTGGGCTGTGGATTGTGGTTGTGGTCGTGGGTATTGTTGTGGTTGTTGTTGTCGTCGTTGGTTGTGGGTTGTGGGTTGTGGTTGTGGTTGTGGTGGTGTTGTTGTTGTTGTCGTTGTCGTCGTCGTCGTTGTCATCGTCATTATCGATGTTGTCGTTGTTGATGTGCCGCAGTAGGCTTCAGCCTTCTACCGCCCTGAACCGTTGCAGCTGAGGGTCTCGACTTTGCCTCCGGTGCCCGCGGCCCCAAAGCTGCTTTGGCAAAGTTGGGAACTTTCAAAGCATTTTGCATGGATTGTTTTTGGAGGGTATTAGAAGTTGAAGGCTCGGCGCGTTCCTGCCGTTTGCATCTTGTCGAAAAAGTTTGTGCCAGATTCACTTTCAATGTGTCTCACAGGAAGGCTTCCAACACTCAGCTTTCACGACGAAGGGTTGTCCTTGTCATCCGCGGAGCTGCTGGATGTTCTCGCAAGTATTGTTTCGACCCCGAATATTATTTACTTATCACCCTGATTGTGAATGTCCGTGAGGCGGCAGTGCTGTTTCGTCTTGCGTTCCCGAGGCAGAAGCAAGCGCACAAACGTCGTCGCTCGAGCACGGCTTGTCTTACGGTGCCCGTGGCCCCAAAGCTCCTCTGGCATTGAAAAAAGTTGGGAAGTCTTTCGAAGAATTTTGCATGGATTGTTTTTGGAGGGTGTTAGAAGCTGAAGGCTCGGCGTGTTCCTCGTGTTTAAAAAGTTTGTGCCAGATTCACTTTCAACATGTCTTACGGGAAGGCTTCAAACACTCAGCTTTCACGACGAAGGGTTGTCCTCATTATTCGGCGGAAGCTGCTGGAGGTTCTCGCAAGCATTTTTTCGACCTTGAATATTACGTATCACCCTGATTGTGAATGTGTGTGAGGCGGCAGTGACGTTTCGTTTTGCGTTCCTGAGGCAGAAGCAAGCGCACAAGCGCCTTCGCTCGAGCACTTCCGAGGCCTCTCGCCTTTGATTCATGTTCCACCGCATGCCAATAAGTAGGACCGACGCGATCTTGAGAGTAAGATATAGATCTCAGGCCCTGTCTTCCAGCGTGAGTGGTGTGCACGCCTGTGCGTGAAAGCAGGATGAGGACATCGATGCTATCCTGCACCGGCCCCAGGAAAGACTTTTAACCAAAACACAATGAATTGGGCTTGCAAAAGTCGGCACGCCGCCGTGATGCGAGGCGTGACCTCGACGAGAAGGAGCAGCAACGACCCTGGACGCTCCCTCCGTGCTGCGATCTTGCGCAATCACGGCTGGCCTTGAGGTGCCAAGCTGCAAGACGTGTTCTGCGCTCCAAAAAGGCCCGACTTCTGAAACCAATGCTGCATGTGCTGGAATCAGGAGGGCATGGGCATGAGTCTATATGCAAGAGGACAGGCATACCTTTCTTTTCGATCCTGTTCTCTTCCCATCTCTTCCTGCTTGCTCTAGCAGCCTAGCATTTCTCAATTGCGAGGTGCAAGACTTCATCTACGACTACCTTTCGTTTCGGCTGGTCTGTGGCTCAGTTGGCTGGATGGATCTTGCGCAGTGCGAAGTTAGCAGCACAGGTGAGTTGGGTTCGGCAAGTTGTAGGTTTCCAGCGGTGTTTCTTAGCTGGCTGGTTTGGCGCCGACATGTTGATGAGAGTGTGGTGGGTGAGCGAGCCCGAACGTTGCTAGATATCGCCGATGCAACAGCTTGTGGCACAATTTTCGCGGAGGTGACCCAAGAGCAAATCCAATCACGATTCGCTGAGCTTCAAGGCCGGCCCCTGTTAGGCACCCTGTTGGGCACGTGAGCATCAGTTTCGACTCCGCAGAGGTGCCTTCTCGCGCCAGCAGCTAGTGGAGGCCGGGACGAGCTGACGAGCAAGACAAAAGCAAGAAGCCAGTTGCTTGCTTTGTCCCTGAGCTCCTTGAGGTATGTCCGGCTGAGTGTGATTGTCGGTTCTGGTAAGGGCCTTCCTAAATTGCCCGAGACATCCAGTCTGTCTTTCGAGGCTTTCCGATTCACGATGTTTCAAGTGGAATCTGGCACCCGACACCTAGACCAGCCAGTGTCGATAGCACAGCCAATGGACCAAACTACAATCGCTTCAAGAGAAAGCTGGCACATTGTCCGCCTGCCAAAAAAGTGGCGGCTACATTTCACCCTGCTGACATTCACCGGGTCCTGGATGGTGCTTTGAACTCTCATGAGAACTGCAGCATGGGGCAAGTGTGTTGCATTTCGCCCCACATCTTTGGTTGACGCCGCCGCATGCTCAAGGTATGCTTAGCAGGAAATCCAAAGTACAAAGCCGGCATTGTCAAGCAAACCTCGCAGGAAGACACACACGGTAGAGAGATCAAGCCGTGGGCAGAATGGTGCAGAATCCATCTCGAAGGTGTAGCCGTCCAGCAGAAGCCGTGAAGCGGAAGAGAAGCCTGAGACCCTGGGCCTCTCGTGATCCTCCCGTTCCAGCTGCCACATGCCCGCGAGTCTTGGAGGCGGCTTAAGCAAGGGCCTCGAAGTTGCTGCGATGAAATGCCGCTTCGGCTGACCCTGAGTGGGGGGCAGGCTCCGTTCAACATTGACATGACCTACACGGTTCCGACTTCCGACAAAGCTGGAAGAAAGGTCTTTCAAGACTCTTAGATGCGCCGGCCTGTGCAAAGACGAACTTGAAATAAACCCATGATCTGATGGCGCCAACTTAGTTGCGGTGTCTGCACTGAAGTTTGAGCTTGCCTCGGGAATGTGAAAGACTCGCTGGTGAGCGTTTGAAGCCCCTGAACGTCGCAATCCTGCACTTGCATGCTTGCATGCTGCAGCATTCTGCAGCGGTGTGCATCACGCTTCTTCTTGAGCAAGCATCTGGCAGGCTGGGATCCGATTGTCATGAGTCGTATGGTTGCCTATGGTTTCATGTCGTGCGCAGCCAGCACTTTTGAGGCCATGGCGCGCCGGGCACGCCCAGACCTCGATGCCATGTCGATTGAGGAGCGCGGTCAGAGTCGGTGAGAGTGCATGCCACGGGTGCTGTCTTGTGATCTGTCGAGTACGTTCCCGGCATTTCCAAGCGGTGTTGTTGGAATGGCGAAGGAGCTCCAAGCCTACTTGGACACCTTACGCAAGAGAGACGAGGACTTTGCCCAAGCGAGTGAAGTTCGGTCACCAGTGACGTGATGCACATTGTTTGCAGAAACGCAAAAAGCAAGCTTGGCCCTCGATATCGGTCCCGTGGAAATCTGAATCCCCAGACATCCAGCGTTTCGAGGTGGAGGCTGTTCGAAGCGTTCTCTGGTCCTGGGCTGCTTCCTCAGAGCTCCGTTGCAGCTCGCACAGATCTTGCGATTCCCGTGAAGGTCAGGTCAGAGATGCAGCCGATTCATGGACATGCGGATTCTACAGTTGGTGCTGTGATCCCGTCCAGGTCTCAGTAGCACCTGTGGCGTCCGCCTTGATTCCAAGTACTAGCATCACTATACAAGTTACTCGCACAGCCCAGACGGCGCGCCCGATGAGGCCGACCATGTGCGCGACGATGACGTGGTTGTAGCCTGAGGCAGGCTGTCTGGGGGGTCCCCGCAATACGTGTTGCAAGAATCGTCGGACTGTTGCCAACGCATGCAGCGTCGGCACTCAACATGCCCCTGGCGTTGTCTTCGTATTTGCTGTGTTGGGGTGTGTGACTCACTCGAGTCTTTTCGGAGAGCTTTGGCTTTAGTCGTGCATGCCTTCACGTTGTCCTCGCAGCAGATGGCGTGGCATTTTTCATTGCGAAAACCAAAGTCCTTAACACGCTTGAAATCGGGGCTATGCGAGGGGTGCCCGAAAGGGACTTGCCTGCAGAGATGTCGGCTTCGGGGCATCGGTTTTGCATGTCAGCAGCGGGCAGGCACCGCATTGAGCTGCGATGCCTTCCAGAATGTATGTTCTTATTGGCCAACACTGGGACTGGGAGTCGGAGTTTCCATTGAAGACATTTGTGTTGCTGCCGATATATGAGTTCATACAAACGATGAGGCAGGGATGGGTGGAAGGCAGCCCGAAATCACTGCGACGCTGCTGCTCGCATGTTTGTTCCGCTTACTGCGGGAGATCATTGTCGTCCTACACAAACACAGATTGCATACAGAGATATACCAACACGACACCAGACGTACACAGATGGATGGATCGGGTTGCTTACAAGATGCGCGCATGTCACTTCGGGAACTCCGGTGCGCGTGAGGTGTCGTTCTGCTCTGAAGCTGGCTGCATTGAGGCTGGCGAGCTGGTGGAAGCCTGGAGCACTTGAGATCGCTTGGGGACCTCGGTGGATGCCTGCGAAGGCCAGGAGGAGAGAGAGAGCCAAGCAAAGGGAGAGGGAAAGAAAATGTCGCTTCTTCACAGTTGCAGGTGGCGCGGCGGAGTTTGGAGGCGCGTCGGCTGCAGGAGGTTTCTTAAGCAGAGAAGTCGCGCTGTGAGCTGCGGCATATCCTCTCGAGGCATGCGCTTGTGACGTGGAAGCGAAGCCGAGAGCTCCCTCGGCTTCCACGGCCCTGGAACCGCTTCATTGTTGGTCCGACGCTGTCCTCGCAAGCTTCGTGGGAGAATGGCAGAAGCAGCCGACGAGCTCTGGCTTTGGCATTGGGTTCTTCCGAGCATCCGGCCCGAGTCCTGGGAAGCTGCTTTCAGCAAGGCGCATCCGCATGGGCCTCTTGGCCAAGTTGGAGGAAAAGAGGGAAGACTCCGTCGAGCAGAGCTTTCTGGGGGAGGGGCCGTCGGTTACATCCAGCTGCCACTCACGGTCGTCTTCGAGTCGTCTTTTCCTACGTCGTCTTGCTCCCGCAAGGATCTGCTTTTCCAGCAGCACAGGGCGAAGCCTGGGCTTCATGCGCTAAATGCGCCACTGAAAGTGAGGTGGCTGATGCACTCACCGATGATGAGATCTGCCTGATCTGTGCTCCTCAGCCTGGCAACGGCGTTCTCCGGAGCGATGTCGAATGCTCTGAAGCAGACTCAGCGGTGAACGAATGGATTCCAGGCTTCGTCGTGGCGGACGCAGTGCAAGATGGTTTGAAGACAAGCTCGATGATGTCCATACCTGCAGCACCCAGCGTGGCCTGGGTTGCTGTTGCAAAGCCTATGCCAGCCTGCTTTTCGGCTGACTGTATTGCCAACCCGGAGCTGTAAGTGGCCACGCGGGACAAAACATGCCGGGATGCTGCCGACATGCACGACACTGACATCACTGATATCGCTGAGCCTTCCCTCAGTTTTTTCGGCTCGCATCACCTTGCATCTGGTTTCGAGCCATGGAGACAGCAGCGGAGTTGCGGGAAAGGCTGAATGCCATGCGCGAGGAGATTGGCCATTTAGTTGGGTCATGTGTACAGTACATGTCAGAGTCAGAGTTACCACTCAATGCGATTCTCAGGAGAATGAACGCCTTCGCCAAGATGTCTTCCAGCGCCAGCAACAGGCTGTTGGATTCCTGAGGAGCTCAAGGGGGGATAATGAATGCCTTCCTTGCCAGGCTGCACGTGCGCTGACAGCGGCTGTTGGGAGCTTGGCTGAAGTGTTAGTGACTGTTCGTGTTTGCGACTTGCGGTGTCCCACTGAACTGAGGTCACCACCGGGGCAACGCTGCTTGCCACGTTCGCCGTGAATGCGTGCACTCGCGAGGCAGGATCTTTTTTGGGAAGGTCGCACACACGTTTTTGGCACACTGCAGGCGACGGTGTCGCTGTATGGCTTTTGGGAGGCCTAGCGAAGCACCAACTGATCAACGATAGGAATCAATCCTGGCGTGCACCAAGGGGCTGGAGGCTTGGTGCTGCTGTCGCTCTTCTACGGCATCGACGGCTGAAGAAGTCCGGGTTTGAGGCCGGACGTCGGACCGTTTGCAACTTCATCCGAAGTCGTTCACCACAAGCCCAAGCATGTACACGAACATTCTCAGCAGGATGCAACATCATGATTCAGCGCTGCGAATCATGCTGACAGCTTCTTATGTATGTTGGCACATATCCATGTCGGAAAGTAAGTAAGTAGGTATGTGCAAAACAAAATCTGCTTGCAGCCCGAAGTTTCAGGCACCTCAGCAACGGCAGCGGCAGCAGGAACGACCACCGTAGTGGAAAGTTGCTGACGTTCAAGGAAGACATAGTTCAGAACACAAGCATGACAGGCAGCAACAGCGAGACGCACATGCCAATGCAAAAGACCAGGGTTTGAAGCTGAGCATTTGCAAGGAGGCGGAAGTAGTCAAAGCGGCGGACCTTGCATGTCAGGCCACAGTTGCGCTTTGGAGACGTGCAGTTGCAACTTCATTGCCAGGCACGACTCGGATGATGTAGGATGGAGCCGTCGAACCTTGGAGCGAGACCTGAAAGCTTGACCGGGTAAAGCCAGTCGCGAAAGCCGTTCGTCGTGGGAGGGTTGGACTCTCGGAGTTGGAAGGGCTCCTCCCCACGTGGTGAGGCCATGTGAGGCCATGGACTTGACCGGACATGCGTCGAAACACGGCAAAGAGGCAAGCACTGCGATGCGAGATCGAGCAGCTGTGGCCATGCTTTTTTGTATTTTGTGCGGAACTTCTCGAGCGTGTGCATGCATGCATCATGCATGCAAGCATCATGCACGCATGTACACATGCACGCATGTATGCATGCATGCATGCATGCATGCATGCATGCATGCATGCATGCATGCATGGTATGTCTGTATGCGTATATACTGTATATCTGTGTATGTGTGTATGTGTGTATGTATGTACGTAGATAGGTATAGGTAGTCAGGCAGGTATTTATGTATGAACGAATGGCCTCCGGATGTGTAGCCGCACCGGAAGCATGTGGAAGCCCATGCCGGTGACAGGCCGTCGCGGATCGCTTCGAAAATGCGGAGCAGGCCAGTCCTTCGCACAGCCCATGGTGTTTTGCTTGGTACCAGGCGGCGTAGTTGCAGAAAACTGGGCGTGGCTGCCGCTATCACCAGGTCCTGGTTCAGCATGTCGGCGAGACGAAGGATCGATGTGTAGACGCGGGCGCACCTCTGCTGCATTGGCAACTTGTGTCGAGGCCTCGCTGTGAAAGCACGGGCCCATCGACCTGCGCTTGAATCAATGTGGATCTTCGCTCTTCTTTCTGGCTGAGGTGGAGCGCCACCACGCCAAGGAGCACCGGGCGTCGCAACGCTCACATCAATTGATGCTTCGTAGCTGCCCCTTCTGCAAGGACGGGGCCATCGTAGTGTATAACCTCAATTGCAAGAAGGGGCTCCCTCTGAGCAGCTGCACCGGTGCGAGGTCCACGGAGTCGACGCCTCAACCGAACCTTGTGACATCTTGTGATGTTTCAAAAAAAGAAAGACCAGAAAGAGAGGGAGGCCTCGAGAAAGGATTGAAGCGGAGATGGGAGATTTCACGGAACTCGGGGTGACACAGTTCGTGTGAGGCACGCCGCTAGGATCAAGGTCCTTGGAGCCCTCCTTCCGGCTTTGTCTGAAAGCCTCTTGTTTGTCAGATGCACGGAAAGCTGGAGCTTCCATTGAAGCATGTTGCATGTTGCAGCCAGTTGATGCCAATTGTGTTGCTGCCTCCTTGAAGTTCACACGGCAGCCCGAAATGGCTGCGGCTTATAAGGCAATGTGAAGTTGAAACGCTTGGCACTGAGACAGACAGGACGGCGACGGTCTTCGACGACACACGGGAGGGGGCCCCCAAAGCGTTGTTGAGGAAGAGAGGAGAAAGGTAACTCCGATGCTGCTGCTCGCATGCCTGCTCCGTTGACCCCTCCTTGCTAGTAGTTACCGTAAAGCACCGCTACACATACGTCCAGGAATACATCGATACATAGGCAGATAATTCAGATAGGTACATAGGTAGCTAGCCAAGTGGGTAGGTACAACATAGCTACTCGTAGCTAGCCAGCCCGAAGGAGGTACTTAGCCCGCCGGCAGGGATGGGTGCAACGCAGCCCGAAATCACTGCGATCTGCTCTCGCATGTCTGTTCCAAACACACATACATACAGAGACATACCAATACACCCGATGTGGGTAGATGGATGGGTCGGGTTGCCTACAAGATGCGTGCATGTCACTTCAGGAATTCCGGTGCGCATGAGGTGTCGTTCTGCTCTGAAGCTGGCTGCATTGAGGCTGGCGAGCTGGTGGAAGCCTGGAGCACTTGAGATCGCTTGGGGACCTCGGTGGATGCCTGCGAAGGCCAGGAGGGGAGAGAGAGAGAGAGAGAGAGAGAGCAAAGCTTTCCCGGAACTGGCCAGTGCACCTCTCCAACAAAGGGGGGTTTCACCACTTCGGACAAAGACCAGTGCGTGCGCGCGCGCGTGCGGGAGGGGAGACCCTCCTTGGCTGAGTGCAAGCAAGAGAGCAAAGCTGAGCAAAGCAAATGGAGAGGGAAAGAACATGTTTGGTTTTTTACACTGTCAGGTGGCGCGGCGGAGTTTGGAGGCGCGTCGGCTGCAGGAGGTTTCTTAAGCAGAGAAGTCGCGCTATGACGGCATATCCTCTCGAGGCATGCGCTTGTGACGTGGAAGCGAAGCCGAGAGCTCCCTCGGCTTCCACGGCCCTGGAACCGCTTCATTGTTGGTCCGACGCTGTCCTCGCAAGCTTCGTGGGAGAATGGCAGAAGCAGCCGACGAGCTCTGGCTTTGGCATTGGGTTCTTCACCCTGGCACCAAGCGTGCATGCGTTGCTGCCGTGATCTGCGACAGGGCCTCGCACCGCTCCCTTCCATCGAGGACCGCGGATGTTGATATCAGCGGAAGCTCCCGAGGCCATCGAGCTCTTGACACCTGGAGCATCCGGCCCGAGTCCTTTGAAGCCGCTTTCAGCAAGGCGCATGCAGGGCCTCTTGGCCAAGTTGGAAGGGAGACGCCTTTGGCCTGCTTCTTCTACACCTGAAGCTTCAGACGGCTCGTCGGTTACATGCAGCTGCCGCTCACGGTCGTCTTTTTCGTGATGTACGTCGTCTTGCACCGCCGGCTTTGCTGTCACCACAGTATGATGGCCTCAGGTTGGGTGGACCGCGAGGGACTGCCCTTCCAGCTTGGTGGAGGCGGCTGATTCCGATGCTGCCTTGCTCCGTTGCATTGTTGGTGATCCTTTTTGTGCTCCTCACCCTGGCAAAGGCGTTGCTTCGAAGCGAATGCTGAATGCGCTGCAGCTGCCAGTTTGGCAGCCATGGCTGCGCCTGGGGCCGAGCGCATGATACATTGAACCGGAATCAGTATCGCAAAACATTGGCGCTGTTGATCTGAGAGCCAGGAGACCTTGAGATCAGCGATGCATAGATGGGCCCGGTGTGCATGTCATGTGCCGCATTTCACGTTCGCCTCTTGGTTTCCTTGCCCGAGTGAAAGAGTGGAAAGAGTGTAGTCACCCAAAGCTTGTGTGATGCAGAATGCCCTATCCCTGGCAAGATGTTAGACTCTTAGACGTTTTCCTTGATCGGATCATCCGGGATGCATTCCTACAAGCCGGAATCCGTGCTCTCAGTCCTTGGCCACGTCATGTTGAAAGCTTAAGCCTCACACCCGCAACCCTCATAACCATCACCGTGAACTAGCATCAGTTCCTCGGTCCTCAGACCTCAACCCTCTGGCCATATCGCTGTGGTCCGACCTTTTGGCAAGCTTCGTGCAAGAGCGTTCCGGAAGGTAATAACTGGAGCAAACAAGTGACGCATCGCGTCCCGTGCGGACATTCTCATTGCTTTTGGCCTACGGGCCTACCGTGCCTTTGCCATGGGCTGTTTCCAGTGGCTGTTTCGGCAGCAAGAGGCCCAAGGGTCAAGAACAGAGACATGTCAGTCGCTGTCTTTCACTTGGAGAAATACTTCCGCACTACAGCGTTGCTTGTTCTGCTGTCATAGATGGCCAGGCTGCTGGTCCTTTCGGCGCTGCGTTCGCAAGGATTCTCGTCGAGGCTGCGGCGCAACCCTGCGTCGTGTTTGTTTGATTAGATTCGTGCGTATCCTACTTACAGTCACATTAATGGCTGCCGCCAATGCCGCCGACCCCAGAAGGAGGCAAGAGGACGAGCAACCCGACAGCGCCCAGGCCTTTGACAACCCTCGCCCAACCCCCCCGGCCTTCGTCGAACCCCCTGGTGTGTGTTACATATACTATATACTATAGACTATACTATGGATAATTAAGTATAATAATACTAATTCTCTACATATACTATATACTACACTATTGGTATTTAATTTATTATTATAGTAACACTAATACTCTATAAACTGTATATAACTAGGTTCGAGCCTTGATACCGTCTAAACACCTAGAAAGTAAACGCAAAGCCAGGGGTCTGGGTGGTGTGGGCGGTGACGGCGGTGGGGGCGCTGTGGGCGGTGTGGGTGGTGAGGGCGCGGGGGGGCGCGGGCATGCATGGCGGCCTTTAAATACTCTCTAAACACCTGAAAATACGCAGAACTCAACAGTACTGCGGTGGCGGCAGCATGGCTGGGCGGGCTGCATGGGCGGTGTGGGCGGTGTAAGCGGTTGGGTGCGGGCACGGATTGGCGGCCTGTAAATACCGTCTAAACACCTAGAAAGTAAGCGCAAAACCAAGGGTCTGGGTGGTGTGGGCAGTGACGACGGTGGTGGCGCTGTGGGCGGTGTGCGTGCGGGCGCGGGGGGGGCTCGGGCATGCATTGGCGGCCTTTGAATACTCTCTAAACACTTGAAAACGCAGAACTCCACAGTACTGCGGTGGCGGCAGCATGGCTGGTGGCAGCGGTCAGGCAGTGTGGGTGGTGGGAGCGGTGCCGGTGGCTGCAGCATGGCTGGGCGGTGTGGGTGGTGGGGGTGGTGAAATTCTGTTTCACATCCACAGTGGCTGGAGGCGGTGGAGCGGTGAGGGCAGAGGGCATCCACAGTGGCTGGAGGCGGTGGAGGAGGTGAGGGCAGAGGGCGGTGAGGGCGCAAGGGCAGTGCTGTCTAAAAGCCCTCCCCAAACAACGAAAACACGCCAAAGGGGTCGGCGGATAATCGCTAGGCTGGGCATGTTTGAGCGGGGTGGTCTGCGCATGGCAAGCACAGATCCAAGCACGAGAGTCTTCCTGGAGTCTTGATGGAGGAATCTAGTGCTTGGGCCTGGGCAGGACCAGAAGGAAGTTCGGCCTTTGAAGCAGGCATCGTTGCTGGCGCCAGATTTGTATGCCTCGTGCTCTTTGGACTCGAAGCCTGCCCCTTTGCAAGACGGGTGCCTGTACCTGCGCTGCTGGCGGCGCCTGGGCAAAAACCCCAGACTTTCCGGCAATCAGCTCAGGGGTTGGTGGTGGGACACCCGGGGAAAAGCTACCAGCAAACAGACCGTTCTTTCTGAGGCAAGGCCGTTTTCAGTGCAGCCCGAACTGTCAACTCCGCGAAGTTCCAGGCAGTCGATAGAGTCGATAACCGAGAACTAGTTTCAATCTGTCGTGCTGGCAAGTCGAGGCCTTCGGTGGACACTGCCCCGCCATCTCCGCAAGATGTTTTGGAGGACAACCGCAGTTGTGATTTGGGTCCGAAGCACAGCACATCTCCTTCAGGAGTGCGACGAGCATCAGGACGCGCACTTGAGTCGAGTTGAGTATGCGCTCGGGGTTCCAAGAGTCGGCAGGATAGAGATGACAACAAGACATTGGATGCTCGTGGGAGGACGCTGGCCGCACATGAGAGAATGCTTTTTTCAGCTAATTGCCGTGTGACGCTTTTCGCCAGCACCACCTGTTTGGTCGGGTCGTCGATGTCCGCGAACAGCGCCAGTTTCGGCGCCACCTTGCTACCTGTGTCTCCTTTCCAAAAAAAAGCTTTTCGCGCAGCTGGCACATGCTGTGAACATGTCTGACGCCACGATTCGCCACCGAATGCCACCGACACATCATTCCTGTTTGCCTCTGCGGGTGCTACGCATTGGATGCCTTTTGCAACTTGTGTCCTTGTCTTCCAGCGTGGATCAGGACCAATGAGAAGTTCGAAGCTCTGTTCAGAGACATCCAAGACCGCTTCGAGATGGCAAGGCCGGCACCTCCACATCGCGATGTTTCCGAAAAACGTGCTGTCTGCAGGCGACAGGGCCTGGCATCTTTCGACAAGGCAGCTCAGACCTCAGATTCAGTTCATTCCAGAAGTAGTCTCCCTTCGTGCAGAACGCTGCTGAAGGAATGGATGAAGGCTACGTTGGAGTTTTCGACGGCCTTGTGCATGCTGGACTTGGCCTGGAGCCCAGTTCCTGAGCTGCGTAACAGCACGGCGAGTATTTGCAGATAGGCGGTAGGTTGCTCAGCCAATCTCTGTCTGTACCATTTGCCGCCTCTTCTCAGTATCCCCCGGAGAAGAGACACGCGTGCGGCTCTGAGACTGATGCTGTGGCTCTACTGCTCTACTTGCTGCTTGCTGCTTCTGTTCCCAGTGCGAAGTGCGGCCGACCCCGCTCCTATAAGGTCTTGGAAGCAGAGCATGTCGGAGCTCTTTGCAAACAGATCCCACACGCATCTGCGACTCAGGCTCCTTGCTTGCCCTCCAAGTCATGCTCGCAAGTCGTGAGTGGATGTTGTAACGATTCCCGTTCCGGTTAGCGATGCGCAGTGCTGTGTGCAAGGCAGTGGGCAGCAGTAGAGGCCCGTGTCTGCTTTTGTGGGACTCACCCTGTACGTCATGTAAGTGAATCTGTCAGGACGACGTTACACGCTGCCTCGAGATGAACCCCGAGGCCGCATGCCGCATGATAGATGACACCACAAACTGCGACGACTGTTTGGTATTTTTGGATATGGGGGGTGGAGGGTGGTGGGGAAGAAAGGATGTGGGAGGCCCGTTTTGGGAACGGACATCGAGACATTCGTTGTCCATTAGGATGCCCGCCTGTCCTGAGCTATGACTATACTATCTTGGTCTTGGCACGTAGACGTAAATTCCTAAACTCCATACGCCACAAACCGATCAAACCGATAGAGTGGCTGGTGCATAGCGGCCACGCTGCCCGCAGGTCACAAGTTTCCCAAAGTGTAGCTGTGACTGCTCGTCAGGTCGCACGCACACTCATCATTTCAAGTCTGTTGCAATGCAATATGTGGCTCAAGGACGAAAGAGCCGAGAGCTGAAAGCTCAGGGCTCTTGAGGTGGCAGATCATACTCCTACATACCTCGACAGCCGTACTCTATCTCGGCGCTATATCTTCAAGTTTGTTGATATCGTGACTGTTGTTTTCGAAAGCAAGTGACATTGCAAAGACCGCTGGTTCAAAAGCAAGCAACAGAATCGGCCCGTTGTTATTATGTCAGGGTTGGAGCCAGTGGCGCTTTTCCACAACTATATCCACAAGAACTGACTCGAGGTGTTGGGAAGCCTTTACCAAACCCGCACGCACGTCTTGCCGTGGAACCTGCTTGCTCAATTTTTGTAGCCACTCGCCTTCAGGGAAACCTTAAAGCGACAATGTGGACTCGTTAGAGCATGGGAACTCCACCACACGAGACCCAGGCGAGCAAGTCCAACAGCGACTTGACCAAACATGGGCACACGGAGCCGGGACGAGAGCATCATTTGCAAGGATTCCAAAGTCCAAGAACCCGAAACCCAGAAACATGCGGAAACGTGCTTGCCTGTCACGTTTTCGTGTGACGCGGGGCAGCACAGTCCTTAAAAAGCGCACGGGACATAGCGGGCGCACGATTTGGAAATTGTGGAGTGCGGAAAGTGCAAAGGGCTTAGGCGAGGGCGATTTGGCAATGTTTGGGACCTCTCCGAACCTCAAAACCGCGCAGCCCGTGGCTAGCCCAGAGCACTGTTTTGACCAGAATGCAATCAAGCTCTTACCCTTGATGTCGCCACCATGTAGTAGTGTTGACCCAATCCCTCGCCGGACTGCTCGCCCTTGATTGGATGTCAGGAGCGCCCATGGCTTGCTCCACGTCATGCAACACAAGAAAAGACAGGAACTACTGCCGGTGATCACAGGAACGAAGATTACTGCACAAATCCAGGCTGCAGCACCGCCGCTGCATATCGCAGCGCGAAAATTTCGCCGTGTTGTGTGCTCTCTTGGCTTGAATAACCTTCATAAATTTCATAACAAGCCAAGGGCTATGCTTGAGTTGGTTTTCTCCCAGGTTGCCATGCTTCAAAATTGCAGAAGCACCAATGCATAGCTGCGCTTTTCGGGAACATGCATGTCATCGCAGGCTGAGGAGGGACTTTTGGCGCAAGTGCGCTACCGCCGCGCGGTGGCCTCCGAGAACCTGGGAAACTGGATGCAAGCATTGGAGGCCTGAACCATCTCTGAACCACCTGGACTTTTAGTAAATGCGTGTTTTTCGTCTTGAGATCCCTGGACGCGAAACATCTGCAAGAGGATGCCGACTTCGTGCTGCGTTTCAAGTCTGACAGCCAGGCCAGGCCAAGCTGTGCTTAATCAATCAGACCACATCATTGCAAAATCTATTTCTGTGAAAGGCCATGTGCACGATGATAAATCGTATTGTCGTGCTCCCGGAAAGATCTTCATGCTGCGACGCTGCAGTCTCTTCGTGCCTTTGCGTGACCTTCCCGAGTCTTGTCCAGGTCGCGCGCCTGGCGGCTGACATCGACAAACAACTAGCAGCAACTGAGGCCCGGACAGGTTGTTGCAGAATATGATGGAGATTGCTTCCTGAGATCAGCCGCTGCGCAGGATCCAGAGATTCGCCACCGTTTGTGGAAATCTCTGATGTTGAAGTGGCATCCCGATAAGAATCCGAATGTGGCGACGGCTGCTGGCGAGGCATGCGGCAGGCTTGCTAATGTTGTCTTGAACTGCAAGCCGGAGTCTGTGCAGGTATCCAAGCACCTCAACGCCAGGAAGTACCATTCGTAGGACGGCCGACATGTCCAGTGACCACGCAAGCATGCACACCTTTGATTGCCGTAGAAAGATTCACAACGCACATCACTTAAGCCCCCTCTTGCCTTGTTTTGGCTACCGAGACAGTGCCGATACTTGGAAATGCGTGCGTCCAGGGCAAATCCTCCCGGAGCTTGGCCGTGAAAAAGTCTCTGACGGCCGCGACCCTACATCTTCAGGAGCGTTGAGTGTGAGTGCGCGTGCGCGTGCGCGTGTGCGTGCGCGCGCACGGCGTGCGGCGCGCGGCGTGTGCGTGTGCGTGTGCGTGTCGGTGTGTGTGTGTGTGTGTGTGTGTGTGTGTGTGTGTGTGTGTGTGTGCGTGCGTGTGTTTTTGTCTGTGTGCCTGTTGTCCCTTTGCCTTAGTTTGCCGGCTATTGGCAGTGGCGCGAGGCCTGCTCTCGTGTATGAGACTCTCCCAATGGTTGTCCTTCACAACACCAGCCCCCTTCAGAAAAAGCTTGCGACCCAACTCCCCTACACCCCACGAAAACAAACTTCAAGTCTGACATGCGCAGCCTTTGCATTTCGTCACTAAGGCTACAATGTGAACACGTAGCCGAGCCAATAATAACATCGGCAAGTGTAGAAAGCAAGATGAGCGGCCACAGAAACCAAAAGGCGAGATGGATTCGATGATTTCTGAATCGTCGATCGCACGTATTGACTGTTCGCTTCTCTTTTTGTCCTTGTTGTCCAATCCTGTGTAGACTTGGACCTGCATCGCCTATTGGAGTATGAAGGAGAACATCAAATGAGCCAGCGAGTGGTAGACTTATAATTCGTAATCATATTGTAGCGGCCTTGGCTAGGCTATGTGAACTTGATCCCGACCCATCTTAGGTCTTGAGGGGCTATTTGCGCAGACTTCGAGCTGAGAGGGCTGGGTTCACATTCAGCACAGAGCATTTAGCGTCCACCATTCCGTGCTCTGCATATGCGTATGCGCTAAAGAAAGCTTTCCTTTGGAAGCCGATGTCTCGTCACAGCTGCTGCCGAGAGGTCAAAAATTCTGTGCTGCAACCGGTGCAATTGTTGAGGTTTCGCTTGTGAGGACTTAGCACCGCGTAAATGCAGGTACCGACATGAACAAGTTCCAAACTTCTACGAACACACTCGCCACAAGACAGCTTTTTGTACAACCGATTTGCAGTCAGCATTTGCGGCTCGCAGCTCTCGGGCACTCGGGGTTTTACGTTTCAGGGTTGCGCGGCAGGGGCCATGCGATCCTTTGAGGCACGCACCGTTGTGATTTGCCAGTTCTTGTGTGTTCAACTATGTTCAACTTAGTTGTTTGCTCAAACATCACAGATTGGGCAATCCTATTCGTGGATATGATATCGCACATCAGAGTGCAAACTGTTCTGCCAGGAAAGTCCCTCTTGCAAGCTTGTTTATGTGGCTTTCGTACCGATAGCGGCTGAGTGGGCCATCGTCTCCACCTCATAGTTGGAGCAGTGGTGAAGATGCCCACAGTTCCCGACTGAAGCTTTCTTGGAGGTGCCCTGCACGCAGCCCCGTTCAGCACAAGGTGGCGCCGAATGCGGCGTGTGTGATAATGACACTGGTTCTTTGGATGTCGCTGGACAGGCTACAGCCAGCACCCTCCATTGGTCGTACAGGTGCAGTTCTGAACTGCTTTCTTGCGCTGAGCTTCAACTCATGTGTGTTGTGACATGTGTGTCATTTAGTTGCTTCCCAGTGCGCCCTGGATCTTGGACCTTGGCCCAAGGCGCTGCCCGTGACCAGGATTCGTACGGTGCGAGCCGCGTCCTCACACGCAGACTCGCGTTGACAGGTTCTGGATTGACAAGTAGGTGGTTTTGGACACGCTGCGAAACAACGGAAATGAACGTATTGAGTGCGTTGAGTGCAGGGCCGGCCCGCTCTGCAGTTTTTGCTATGCAGCCGCCCCCCCCGAACGAGGTTACGCCGCCCCCACGCCTTGTGGGTCGCGCAGTGTACCAGGCCCTGCGCCAAATTCCGATTTCCCAAAACGCAATTGGGATTTCGCCAAGAGTGCAATGCATACAGGTGCCATCCAGAGCAGCGGCGTGTGCTTTGAGACAGGACGCGCAATCACAGGTAGAGCCTCCCATGGAGGCTGCAGGCTATCACAGAAGCCTCCTTTTGTCGTGTTTTCGTTTTCGCAAATTCGCACTGACGATGAAGCCGTGATGCAGGAACAGTCGGAACAGCCGCCGCGCCTCGAAGGCACAAACTGTGAACCGGTCTGTGAAATGAAATGCCGATTTGGAAGTTTAGTCCATCGTTAAGTGGCCTCGAAAACTGCGGTCCCATGTGGGGGTATCCCGATCCCCCAAAAAATGCCCGCAAAGATTCCCAAAGCTTTGGGTGGCTTCAGGCCCTGCGAAAAAGATGCTGCGGCAAGAGAACGAGGCCGGCTTTGAGATTCGTCCTGCCAGCGGTAAGCTTTACCCTTTGCTGTTGCAGGAGTGGCGAGCGAAAGCCGCGAAGGATCGGCTGTTCTTGTTCTGGTTTTTCTCGTCTGTTCGCGGTGGTAGTGGTGCTTGTGTGTGCTGGTGCTGGTGTTGCCGGTGCTGGTGGTGATGTTCTTCTTCGAAATTCCCAGGTGTCGTATGGACGAGAATTCGGGATTCGGGAGCATCAGTTTTGGAATTCGCGGCGCCGCAACGAAGCTCCCCACAGAACCCAACGATGGCATAAGAAAAAAGCTTCATGAAACCCGGAGCCTGGAGCCTCTTGTTTGGCCCCGTTTGTCACAGAAGCACTTGCTGTGAGCATGATGAGCATTGGTCGTCCGCACGGCTGCCACATTCACTGATCGCACGCCGCGTCGATCGAGTAGTTTGCAGCGCCCCCGATCGCCCCCGCTGACCCTGTCGGCTCTTCCTTTGCCGGACCCGGATGAAACACGGATAAACACGCGACGCATGGCAGACATGGAGCCTGACCCGCCACCTAGGGCAAGAGAAAGTTTCACTCAACTGCTTGACGATTGGAGACTAAAGACGGATTGCGCGCTTCCACGGCGAGCTTCGTAATTACAACTTCACAGCTGTTACAGTTCTGATTGGAGTCTGTGGGGCACAGTTACCTTACAGCTAGCAGACACATCGCAACATGGACCCTTGCACCCCCAAAACCAAGACTTGTTGAATTCTGTGCGCATCATGTGAGACTTGTGAGGCAGAGGATAAGATGGAGGTCGGCCAGCAACGTTGAAGTTGGATGTGGGGTGTGTTTGAGCTGTTCGGATGCGAAGGCAAATCAGTTTTGAGTCGAGAGCCACAGTATCACAGTGCGTGGCCTCGCAGACAGGCCATGTCCAAGGAGAACTCCATGCTCCACAAAGAGAGCCTGGGACATTGAGCTAACGCAAACTCGTGTGGAAAAGCTCGCTTTTTGACAAGACCCGATGTCCCAATTTTTGGGGAGTGCACACGTCTTGTCGCCATGCTTGGCAACGTACCGTTTTGCACAAGCCTGTGCAACTCGATCTGCCAGATTATGCCGGCAGAATTATGTTTCGTGATTTCACTTGAAGCCTTGTCCTGTGCAACGGGTAGCAACCAAGGAATGAAGAGATGCGTGCATGTTGAGCCCTCAGTTTGTTGAAGGATCCTCCAGACTCCACGTGTTTGTTTCGCATGCTTCCGAGTCGGTATCTTGTGGTCCGGAGTGTGTGAGAACTCTGTTGCACGCTCATTCGTCTCAAGTATTGGCACCTAGATCAGTTGAGTTTGAAAATTTGCCCCGCATCCCACTCATCCTACTCTTATGATACCAGAATCCACCAACGGCGAGCAGGGGGGAAAAGTCGGAAGCAATGCAGTTCATTTAGGCGCCGTGTCGCCTAGGGGCAGGCGGTTCAGTCACGGCAAGGGCGCATGCGGTCTCGATGTCTTGAGTCCTCATGAAATCTACGAAGGCCTGGCCTGGTGCTGGTGTGCTGGTGCATTGCTTAGGCTTAGCCCGTCTACAGGAAGAGGTGGTCTCGGTCTCAAAGAGCATTTTTGGGCCCACAAAATCGTTCTCACACGTAACGGCCGTTGCTGTACTTTCGGAGGACGTCCACTGTCCGCGCGTCGGGCCAGCGTGTGGGACTGAGGGTTCTGCTTGCAGACGGCCAAGCAATGATGTTTCCCGTGCGCATTCTGATCTAACGCATAGCCGCCTGGCTGACTTTATCCACGAGGAAATGCCAGTCTTCGGTGAAGACAGTGCCGTCTTGCACCAGGGTTCCCCTAGAAGGACAAAGAATCGAGTAACAAAAACCAATGTTTTCGGCTGCAAAGTGTTCGCGCAGCGTGAAATCAATTTTCATCAGGGTTTTGCTGTCATCCAGAATCCAGACTGGCTATGTAAGGCAGCCCAGCATGGCGGCGGAGGCCGTGCGCTGACTTCAGCTTGGGGTTGTTTGCGCATTGCGGTATTCGGGCATCAAAACGCAGTTATTATCCTGGCTACCGGCAGGCGGGATCCTTGCAGGAGCTGACACGTTCTTCCCTCAGATGGCGCTTGTAAAGGGGGCGTTAGCCAGCAGCTGCAAGGTCTCGTGCGAGGCCGTGTGCAACATCTGCAGCAAGGACAAGCATCCGACAACAGGCGGGAAAGCCCATGCTTCTAGCGCCAAGACTGCATGCATCGGTTATTCTGAGGCTTTGCCCGGCATGCCTGGAGCTACAGCAGGCAGTCGAAAAGCGTGATGCTCAGACCGGCCATTTGTCATACCTTCCTAGCAACTTATTCCACCCTGCATGCTCAAAAACTGGACAGCAGAGTCATGATAATGTTTATGCCACGTGCCAGTGACACCGGCAGGGCCCCCGTAGTCTTAGTTTGTTGGTTCTTGTGGCACTACGTACGCGAGGGCGATTGCGAAACTCGGCTGTGAACTGGACACTTTCAGGCTGGGTATCGGCCAATGTGACAAAATGTCGTGAACACAAGCACCAACAAGGGACACGCAATGAGCAAAGCGCAAGGATTCCAAAAAACAGGCATGGAGTCAGGGTACCAAAACCCTGAAACGACGTAGTGCAAACCAGCGGAACAGCACATTTCTCTTATGCCCCCTGCAAAGTCTGAAACAAACCCACTGAATCCCGGAGAGGCTTGCTTTGCCAATGGACCGCAGCACGGCATTTCGGTCCATTTCAGGCTGCTCGAAGATCTCATGCACAGCCTCGACATGCTGAAGGTCAGAATCTGCGGGGGCTTGCATGGTGGGTCCTTTATGCTCAGCCCGCGGCTGTTTCACGTTGTCTACGATTCTTTGGAGTATGCCCTTGATCTGCCGCAGGTTGATGACGGCTCCGGTGGAGAGGAAGGTCGCCGGCTTGGAATAAGGCTGCAGGATGCAAGCGGTTCTTGCGGACGCAAAGATAGCAGCAAAGCGAGACTTCAGCGCTTTGAGGCTGGATTGAAAGGCCCCACTGCGCGGAGCACACAGTGCCGGAAGGGGATTGTGCAGGACTGCTGACTGCGCAGTTCAAGGTTAGGTCTCGGTTCCATGTGTTTCATCCTATTGTATCGCGATCATGAGAGCAGCAGTGCTTATGAAGAGGGTCGATGTTTATACTATACATATCTATACACAGTTTTTGCCTGTTATCTTCACCCACCCAACTCGGCGATGTCATGGAACAAGCGATCTCGCTTGGCAGATTCTTGCTTTGCCCCGCATCTGCCTTTGCATAATCGACGAAGCCACATCATTTGATTTGAAAGTTTACCCATGTCAGGAGCCGATCCAGAGATGGCCGTCGGTGAAGTAGCTAGTGTCGGCAATGGTGGGTTCCATGAGCCGGCAGTAATTCATGGCGAGAGCCGGCAAGCAAGTTCCACTGCATGATCCGTGCTTCATGGCCTGGCATTCGCGGTCCACCGCATCCCATACTCCAGCCATCAGGTACCCGAGCCTCCATGACCGACCCCGAGCCTGCATCACCCTCGAAGGCCTTTCTGAGCACCAACTGGCCTGGGTTCGTGGCCGCACATGCTAGATCATCCATGCAGTGGAAATCGTGTCAGTCGTCCCGAAAGGGACCATGCTGCATGCAGCAACATTTCGCAGTGTCGCGCGGGGAAACACTCGTCATACTTGTAGCACGGTTTGCAGCCTTGTTTGGGATGGCAATTTCATGATTTTGGTGGAGGGCGTGCTGTCAATCATCTAGTATTTGGCCGAATGCAAGCTTGTGGTTGGTTGGTGGTTTTGGCGCTTGCTTGTTTTTTGTGTGTTTGGTTGGTTTTTCGCAGGTTTGGAAGGACACCTGCCTCGCCAATCCAGCAAGTATGTGTTTCGAATGCTTTCCTACATGTGTCCACACCCCAGTCCCGCACTTGCATATTGCAGCATTCTGCAGCGGTGTGCATCACGCGACTTCCCGAGTAATCATCTGGCAGGCTGGGATCCTATTGTGATGAGTCGTATGGTTGCATATAGTTGCATGTCGTGCACAGCCAGCACTCTTGAGGCCATGGCGCGCCGGGCACGCCCAGACCTCGATGCCATGTGGATTCAGGAGGGCGGTCAGAGTCGGTGAGAGCATGCGTGATGTGGATGTGACACGTGCTGTAGTGTGCGCCCCCGGCATTCCCAAGCTGTGGTGCTGGCTTGGCGAAGGAGCTCCAGGCCTACTTGGATGGATTGCGCAAGAGAGACGAGGACATTGCCTCAGTGCGGCAAGTTCTGTCAGCAGCGATTTCACGCACACTGTTTGCAGAAGCGCAACAAGCAAGCTCGGCCCTCGATGTCGGTCCCGTGGAAATCTGCTTCCCAAGACATTCAACGTTTCGAGGTGGAGTCTGTTCGAAGCGTCTTGGTCCTGGGCTGCTTCCTCAGAGCTCCGTTGCAGCTCGCGCAGATCTTGTGTTTGGAGTGGCGTTGGGTCAAAGATGCAGCAGATTCATGGACATGCGGATTCGGCAAATCAGAGGTGTGTCGTATCTGCAATATGTTCCGTGCGGTGCGTGGAAAAGTGCAAGTAGCTGTTAAGTTGGAGCCCTAAATCCTAGAGCCCTCAGGCATTGGATGGTGTGCTGATCCAACTGCACAAGGAAGCGAGGTATGCCATGGAGGTGATACGCAAGGCTCAGATCGCCCTCTTATTGGCCAGCTTCTCTATGGGATGGCACATTGCAAGCTGGGGTGTGTCCTGGCTGATTACACCGCAGGAGGCAGTGGATGCCTTCCAGTACGGTGCCATGGTAAACACACTGGGAGACACACCATGCATGTTGCTGCTCATCAACAGTTTCCTTCAATTAGCGAGCTGTTCAAGCTACATACCAATTCAATCTGTGGATGCCGAGCTTCCGGAAGAGGAAGACATGGGCCCGGTCTGAATCTGCGGCAAGAGAGTCGGAATCCGACCGCGATGCCAAGCCAGTTTGGCCACCATGGCTGCCATTGGCGCTGTTGATCTGAGAGCCAGGAGACCTTGAGATCAGCGATGCATAGATGGGCCCGGTGTGCGTGTCATGTGCCGGATTTCACGTTCGGCTCTTGATTTCCTTGCCCGAGTGAAAGAGTGTAGTCACCCAAAGCTTGTGTGATGCTCCCTGGCAAGATGTGGCACCCTTCGGAGCTCGGCCAGTCCAGCAAACCCAGTGCCAGGTCCTGAAATCTCTCAGGCTCCGGCCAGGTAAGTGCCTCCCATTCTGGGACCTCCCGGCGCGTGAAGGCCTCATTCAAGGGCTTCGCTTGGCATCGCTTCCGGAGAGCTCAACAAGAGCATCCTCTCCGACCGAGTGCTGGAGATGTGTGTGTGTGTGTGTGTGTGTGTGTGTGTTTTTTGTGGTGGTGTGCTCACGTGAGATCTTCACTATCATGCGTCGTCTTCGCACAGGAGCTGGGCCTGAGCTTCTACGCGGTGAAGTCCCGCCAGGGTGCGGCTCGGAACGGCGTGCTGCGGCAGCGGGGTACCGTGGCGGCACCAGTGCACCAGGTGCACTTGGGTGCATTGCCTGCCTGTCGTCGGCTGCTCGGGGAAGCGCTCCAGCTTATTTGGGACTCGGAACCGCGCTGCTCCAAGCGGAGAGTCGTTGCAACGGCCTGGCGCGACGCTACGCCAGAGGCCAGGCGCTGCCCCGGCACGTGGACAACCCCATATTCGAGGAGCGGTGACGGGCGTAGGCATGTTTTGCTAGAGATGCTCTAGGCGCTTTGCTTTTGCATTTTGTGCTTCAGGACACCATCGTGGGAGTGGTTCTGAAGTCCGGCGCGCGCCCCGAGGCCAAGCTGTGAGGAGTTGTGTTCTGCTCCCGGGGTTCCTTTCCTTTGATATCCAGGCCGTCGGGCTGGGCTTGCAGGACCGAAACTCGGACTTAGTCGTTCTTTCGTTGCGGGGAGTTTTGAGTCCGGAGGCAGGTTTCTTTGCGGAGCTCGGCTTCCGGCTGGAGGAGGAAGATGGGCTCTGCCTCTGCCTGCAGGGATCTGCGCCAGAGATGGCCCATGAGGTGCCGCATGGTGCCGCCGGTGAGCTCCGAGCGCGTGTCCCTCACCTTCCGGTGGTTCCGGGAGGACTTCTTGGAGGAATTGAAGCACACGGAGGCCCGTCTCGAGGACGACGCGTGAACTTTCAAGCAAGAACCATCGAGCTGACGGACGTTCTCTGGAGCTGCCTACGTTTCCATTTTCTTCGCGCTGTTATGGAGCTGTTTCAGCTTTAATGGAGTCTTAGCTCCTGCGGGCTTTTTGGTGCAGAGCCGATGCTTGAAGCGCAGCAGAGTCCCGCAACTGTGGTGGGCTTTCGCAGCATGCGCCGATCGTGGTGTTATATTGCTAGCGTGGCCAGAACGACTTCGCCTTTTGGCAGACGGAGCACGCTTCCAATACTGTAGGAATAGCAGCAGCAATCCTCAGCCTGACAAGGACGAGCTGATGTCAAATAAAGTGAAGGCGACCGCTGACCGCTGGGGCAAAAGCCGTGCCAGAAGTCATCTTTGCTGTCTTCGAGATGAGGTGCCGATAGGTGCCGTTTCATCACCTGTACCGAGCAGGATGCGTCTTGTGTGGACTACCGCCCAAAATGACCCTTCAATATTGAAGCTCCCAGATCCGGGGCGGACAATCGAAGGAAGCACAAAACATACACACATTCTTGTCACCTCAAACGTAGAATGTCATCCGACGCATCCTGGGGCTGAATCCTTAGTTACCCTTATTATCAAACATCCACCACGACGCCTCTGGAGATCTGATGCCCTGACCGTGCGTTATTGGCGCTTACTTCGCCTGGCCCCTTTTGGCTTGAGTGTCTCGCTGTCGTCGGGGTGGTTAGATCAAGCGAGATGGTGGAGATACAGTACGCATGGTTTGCAAGCCCCTGGCTGATGTCAGACCTTCGCGCAGATGAAGCAAGTGGAGCCCGGCTCCTTAGAACTACTCTCACAGTTCTGTGCTCGAACTTCCGATGTCGAAGCCAAGGCCATCTATATCAGGACAGAGCAGGACGTGCTGCGAGCGGTCGAGCAGGTGCACAAGAAGGCTCCGTCTCGGAAGTCATGAAGCGAAAGAAGGAGTGGAAAAAGCAAGGGCATTTGGAACCGCAGCAGCTCCACCTGGAAGACGAGGCCAGGTGGCAGCAGCGAAAGGCCCGCGGTCTGCTGGAGGCCCGTGTGCTCAGTCGAATCGGGCTGCCTGAAGGCAGCCGCAACTTTGTTGCATCTGAGGAGCGCGGTGTTGCCCACTCAAGCCGAAGCAGCATCCCGCGGCAGGCTCTCTGGGAAGCAGTGTCCTGCTGCTGTCCAGCCGTTCCCGAACGCGAGCCGGAGGAGCTTCAGTTTGGAGGTGGGGCAAGGTTGCGAAGAGTTTCGCTGCTCACACCAGGTTCCTGCTTTCAAGACATTTCAAAACACTGCAACTCCGCAGCGTTATATTGCACTGACACAATGTGTTGACTTTCGGCGTCTTGGGTGAAAGTTTGTTGACTGTCACTGAGAAGAGGTCCAAGGCAGTAACAAGGTCCCGGGGGATGTGGGTGAATATGGAGCGCGCCAGGCCACGCAGCAGGACGAGCCACATCAATCCTTCAATGATATCAGTGACACGTTCAAGGCTGGCCAGACATCAGCATAGTTTCTTCCACACAGGTTGGTTTGTGTATGTGAGAGAGAGAGAGAGAGAGAGAGAGAGAGAGAGAGAGAGAGAGAGAAAGAGAGAAAGAGAGAGAGAGAGAGTGTGTGTGTAGCCCTCCGGGCGGGGGCGTGCCCTCAAGCCTTGTGAAAGAAAGAGAGTGTGTGTGTGTGTGTGTTTTTGTCTGTGCATGTGTGTTGGAGTGTCCAAACGATCGCCGGGTGCATGAGTGAGGCCAGCTGTATCAATAGACGAGTGTGAAGCGTTCATCTCGCGGGAGCTGAGAAAGCTGCGCTCAGATGCTTGATGCAGAGCAGCACGTTCTCGACATCGTTCAGTGTCAGGGCCACGGGTGCCAGCAGGCGATGCGGCGCAGCCTCAACTTGCGCCAGTGGGGACTGAAGAGCCGCAGCGCTTGTGGTGGCCATGAAGTCGACATTCCCCTTGATACCCGCAGCATCGTCAACAGCGAACTATCCGTGCCGACATGTTCGTGGATCCATGAGCTCGCCTACGTGAGCATTGAACGATTTCTGCTCACGTTGCCCCTGGCATCTTTACCACAAATCTCCATACATCGGAACTCGGGTCCCTGCGAAGTGTCCCCAAAACGGACTTGATTGCAGAGATGTCGGCTTCGTGGCATCGGTGTTGTGTGTTATCCACAGTTAGGCACTGCGTTGAGCTGCATTGCCTTCCAAAATGTATGTTCTTGGCGAACACTGGGCGTTGAAGACACGTGTGTTGCTGCCGATTCGTGATTTATGAGTTCATGTAAACGATGAGGCAGGGATGGGTGGAAGGCAGCCCGAAATCACTGCGAAACTGCTGCTCTCAGATTTTGCTCCGCTGACTGCGGGAGATCCTTGTTGTCCTACACGGTCCTACAGCACAAACACACCTACATACAGAGATATACCAATACGACACCAGACGTGCATAGATGGATGGTGGAGTTGCCTCCAAGATGCGCGCATGTCACTTCGTGAACTCCGGTGAGCGTGAGGCATCGTTCTGCTCTGAAACTTGCTGCATGTGAGGCTGGCGAGCTGGCGGAACTTTCGAGCGCTTGGGGACTTCGGTGGATGCCTGCGAAGGCCAGGGAGGGAGAGAGGGTGTGGGGAGAGAGAACGAGAACAATTGTTCTTTCACAGTTGCAGGTGGTGCGGCCGAGTCTGGAGGCGGCGTCGGCTGCAGGAGGTTTTCAAGCAGAGAAGTCGCACTGTGAGCTGCGGCATATCCGCTCGAGGCATGCGCTTGTGACGTGGAAGCGAAGCCGAGAGCTCCCAGCCGAGTCCTCGCACGCCCCTCGGCTTCCACGGCCCTGGAAACGCTTCAGGGATGTCCTCGCAAGCAGCATGGGAGAATGGGCATGCGTTGCTGCCCTGGTGCAGCTGCATCTGGCTGATTGGTGCTGTTTGCCCTCGTCGGGCTGGGCTTGAAGGCCCGACACTCGGACTGAGTGGGTCACACTCCTCGTTCCTGTGCTGCGGGGAGTTGTGGACCCGGACAGACGGCCTCTGCTTCTGCCTGCAGGGAGCTGCGCGAGAGATGGCCCATGAGGTGCCGCATGGTGCCGCCGGTGAGCTCCGAGCGCGTGTCCCTCACCTTCCGGTGGGTCCGGGAGGACGTCTTGGAGGAATTGAAGCACACGGAGGCCCGTCTCGAGGACGACGCGTGAACTTTCAAGCAAGAACCACTGAGCTGACGGACGTTCTCTGGAGCTGCCTACGTTTCCATTTTCTTCGCGCTGTGCTGTCGTCTTGATGAGCTCCAACTCTGATGAGACTGCGGACCGTCGAACTCCATAGCATGTTATGGAGCTGTTTCAACTTTAATGGAGTCTTAGCTCCTGCGGGCTCTTTGGTGCAGAGCCGATGCTTGAAGCGCAGCAGAGTCCCGCAACTGTGGTGGGCTTTCGCAGCATGCGCCGATCGTGGTGTTATTGCCAGCGTGGCCAGAACGACTTCCCCTTTTGGCAGACGGAGCACGCTTCCAATACTGTAGGAATACTGTAGCAGCAGCAATCCTCAGCCTGACAAGGACGAGCTGATGTCAAAGTGAAGGCGACAGCTGACCGCTGGGGCAAAAGCCGTGCCAGAAGTCATCTTTGCTGTCTTCGAGATGAGGTGCCGTTTCATCACCTGTACCGAGCAGGATGCGTCTTGTGTGGACTACCGCCCAAAATGACCCTTCAATATTGAAGCTCCCAGATCCGGGGCGGACAATCGAAGGAAGCACAAAACATACACACATTCTTGTCACCTCAAACGTAGAATGTCATCCGACGCATCCTGGGGCTGAATCCTTAGTTACCCTTATTATCAAACATCCACCACGACGCCTCTGGAGATCTGATGCCCTGACCGTGCGTTATTGGCGCTTACTTCGCCTGGCCCCTTTTGGCTTGAGTGTCTCGCTGTCGTCGGGGTGGTTAGATCAAGCGAGATGGTGGAGATACAGTACGCATGGTTTGCAAGCCCCTGGCTGATGTCAGACCTTCGCGCAGATGAAGCAAGTGGAGCCCGGCTCCTTAGAACTACTCTCACAGTTCTGTGCTCGAACTTCCGATGTCGAAGCCAAGGCCATCTATATCAGGACAGAGCAGGACGTGCTGCGAGCGGTCGAGCAGGTGCACAAGAAGGCTCCGTCTCGGAAGTCATGAAGCGAAAGAAGGAGTGGAAAAAGCAAGGGCATTTGGAACCGCAGCAGCTCCACCTGGAAGACGAGGCCAGGTGGCAGCAGCGAAAGGCCCGCGGTCTGCTGGAGGCCCGTGTGCTCAGTCGAATCGGGCTGCCTGAAGGCAGCCGCAACTTTGTTGCATCTGAGGAGCGCAGTGTTGCCCACTCAAGCCGAAGCAGCATCCCGCGGCAGGCTCTCTGGGAAGCAGTGTCTTGCTGCTGTCCAGCCGTTCCCGAACGCGAGCCGGAGGAGCTTCAGTTTGGAGGTGGGGCAAGGTTGCGAAGAGTTTCGCTGCTCACACCAGGTTCCTGCTTTCAAGACATTTCAAAACACTGCAACTCCGCAGCGTTATATTGCACTGACACAATGTGTTGACTTTCGGCGTCTTGGGTGAAAGTTTGTTGACTGTCACTGAGAAGAGGTCCAAGGCAGTAACAAGGTCCCGGGGGATGTGGGTGAATATGGAGCGCGCCAGGCCACGCAGCAGGACGAGCCACATCAATCCTTCAATGATATCAGTGACACGTTCAAGGCTGGCCAGACAGTAGCATAGTTTCTTCCACACAGGTTGGTTTGTGTATGATAGAGAGAGAGAGAGAGAGAGAGAGAGAGAGAGAGAGAGAGCCATTTTGGCTCAAGCCGTGAGTGGTCCAAGGCCGCGCCCTGCAGACAGAAGAGGGCCTCAACGGGAGGGCTGAGAGAGTGTGCGCCCGCGACTGAGACGGGGGGCCTCTCGCTGCCATCGACCTGAACGTAACGGTCGCTGCCCTACGTGCCGTCCTGCCGGGGGTTGTCTACCGCGAGTTCGGGGGGAACGGAGCAGTTCGGTGACCGCTGCCCCGGCGAGCGGAGGACACTGAGCACAGCAACCTGTACGGCATAGCGACCCTACAGGGGGGCAACCTCAACGTCACGACCCACCGGAAGAACGAGGGGTCGCAAAGCTCGGAGAAGGCACGATCGTGATACTTCCTCGGGGACACCAAGAATGGCATCTACCGGTGGTGGTGGGCAGGGGGAGCAGCCGGACCATAGCATGCAAGCCAATGCAGGGGCCGAAGCCGAGGGGGCCAAGGACGGTGAGGGATCACCGCAGAAGAGGGGACGCACCCAGGAGCAGCCTTTGACCCTGGCGCTTTTGCGGGAAGTGCTGGCCCAGGAGCGGGAGATCGACCGAAACCACCTCGCTCAGCGATTGGAGACCGTGCAGGGGGATGTCAAAGCCATCCGTGGGAGAGTGGACGCAGTCGAGACGGGGGTCACCATGCAGATGCAGAACACCATGACTATGTTGACCAAGGTGACCGACAACTACGATGTGCAGTCTAAGGCCTTGGGGGAACTCAAGGTTGCCCAACAGCAGCTGGAGAAGAGACTTGAGGCGATGGAGCACAAGCCGTTCTCCTCGGCTCCGGGGAGCACGACCGCGGACACGGAAGGGGGAACTGGCAAACCGCCAGCACTTATCATGGGGGGGTGGCACCCAGATCAGCCAGCTGAGGAAACACTGCAGGCAGCGAAGACCATCCTCCGCAGGCTGGACGTCCAGCTCAACCCTGAAGATGCTTTTGTGCCTGGCCTGCGCAGGGGGTACGCGATCATACCGATCAAGCCAAAGCCGTTCGAATCTGAGGACGAGCGCCGCACAAGAGTTCAGGGGGCCATGCAACGAGTCCGCAATGCCAACGTGACCACGGGGACCGACGACTCCGGCAACATGCGCAAGCTCTGGATTGCCCTTTCCCAGAGCCCAGAACGACGACGCAGAGCGAAACTGGCAGGGAAAGTTAAGCGCCTGGTGCTCGAGCTGGGGGGCAACAAGACCGATATGGAAGTCGAGTTCGCGACGGGGACCGTTTGGATGGTGACCAGCGGGGGGAGCACTAAGGTCTCCAGCTGTTCCGCGGAGCAGCCAGCCACAGCCGAAAAGGTCGGGGCCGGATGGGTCGACGTGACGGCGATCGCAAAGGCCATGAGGAAGACGCTGCAAGAGGTGCAGACCGCATGGGGGCCCCGCAAAGCGGAGCTTCTGTGGCACGAGGGGCAGCTCGGCGGCAAGTTTCACCAGCGAGATAGGGGGGAACACTCCCAGCCAATGCGGGTGGCGACCTGGAATGTGGGAGGACTCACGGCTCAACATGTGCTGGAGGCCACCCAACACTTTTCGGGGGACCCGGACCTTGAGTTACTACGCGTGCTTTTGCTGCAAGAAGTCGTTACCGAGCCGGGGGTTTTCTTTGCAGAGCAGTATGGATGGACAGTCGCTTTTGGGAAGAATGAGGGGGACTGGAGGGGCACGGGGGTGGCGTACAAAACTAGCACAGCCCACCACAGCAACACACAGCTCCTCCCGGTGGGCATTGCCACAACACTCACAGACACAGCCGGGAAGCGGGGGGTGCGTTTTCTGTCTGGCCACATACCACACCACGCCACCATAGCGCAAACCGAGCAATACCTGGGGGAGTGGAGCAACACGCTCAGCAAAGCCAGGGTTGTGTTGGGTATGGACGCCAATGAGCAGTTCACGCAGGCGGAGGGTGAGGGGTGGCATGCACACACCGGCAGGGGGGAAGCCATTTTGGCAGCCATGGCGGACAAAGGCCTCAACACGCCAGAGCAGCAACTCACCACGCCGTCGTACCACCCATACAACACAGCCATGCGCTCCCGGCGCTTGGACTACCTGGCGGTCCGCGGGCTCCACACACAGACCGGACGAGTAGCAGGCGACAGCCGGCATCTGGCACGTTCCGACCACGACCTGGTGTGGATCGACGTCACTGTGGGGGGGCCGCCGCCGAAGCCAAAGCCGACATGGGGGGCAAGGAGGTATGCCAAACACGTCAACGTCCAGAACGAAGCAACAATACCACCCAGCCAGACGGACACACATACCGCCATCAGTCAGCTGGCCTGCAGGATCACGGTGGCGGGGAGGGAAACCGACAGGTTCACCGAGAGCAACGCTCTCAAAGGCCTGCGCCGGCAGGCCAGGGGGGCGCCACAACACCTTAGCCGAGAAGCGTGGGAAAAAGTGGCGCGGGTGAGGCAACAGGAGCAGCGAGCATGGCACCAAGCGTTGGTCAACAAGGCCAGCCATGCAAACTGGCGAGCCAAGCGGGCGCTGGAGACACACACTGCTCGCAGGGGGTGGCAACACCAACTCACAGACGACCCTGAATGGAGACACAAGCTCCGGGGACACTTTGCAAGCATCTTTGCCAAAGCACCGGCACAGCGCACAGCACAACGTTTGGCAGAGACCAGGGGGGCCCTGACCAAGCTATGCAAGCACACCCCGTGGAGGCCCTTCACACGGTGGGACCTCGAGCTTGCGACCCGCACCTGGAAAAAGGGCAAAGCGGCGGGGCCTGACGCCATCACGCACGAAATCCTCTGGCTACTCATGCAAGAGCAGGCGTGGGGGGACAGAATCCTTTACATGATGAACGACTTCCTCTACAAAGGCTCCATACCGGAAGAGGTGACGCGGGGATCACAGTCCTCCTCCCCAAAACTGTGGGGGACCCAACCACGTGGGGAGACACTCGGCCCATCACCCTGAGTTCGTCCATACTCAAGTGGTTCTCCCAGCTGCTGCTACTGCGGGGGGGGGGGCGGCTGCAGGACGGGGCGCCGTTGCAGTGGGGGGCGAGGGGGAAGCAAGCACCTGAGCTGCTCGTGGTGCTGCGGCGAGTGATCAGGCACGCCAAGGACTGGAACATCCCGACCTGGATAGTTAAGTTGGACGTGCGCAAGGCGTTTGATAGTGTGTGGCAGGAAAGTATGGGGCAGGTGGTTGCGGGGAAGGCAAGGCGGGGGAGGAAGCACCGACGGGATGCCATGGGAGGCCAGAGCGTGAATGTTCCCCAAACCAACGGGGTGCGCCAAGGCTCACCTGATAGTCCAGTGCTCTTCGGTCGGGTGGTCGCAGACGACCTTGAGGGGCCCCTCAACGCCACACAACACCTCCTGCCCCCCAAGCAGGAGGGGCCACCTCCACCACAATCCGGGGGGGCGTACATGGATGATACCTACCTCTGGAGTTACGATCGCGACCATCTGCAGGCCTCGCTCGCGGAGCTTGAACGCCGACTCAGGCAACACGGCCTCACCATAAACCCGGGGAAAACGGCGATCATATACAGCCGGCCGGAGGGGGGAGGTACATTCCGAATTGGGGGGGACGAGGTTGCATGCAAGCCCTTCGGCGAGGTGATCACCGCACTGGGGTCACCCATCACGTTCGGGGAGGAAGTGGCGGCCGTTGTTGCAGAAATGAACCACTGCGCGCCCACGTCCCTGGACAGCAGGATCAAGCTCCACCAGACACTCGTACGGGGGGCGGCGCTGTGGGGGGGGGAGGCGTGGCAGGTCACAGACGCAGTGCTCCAGGCGGCGAACAGCACGCAGCTCACGCAGGTGCGCCGCATGATGCACCCAGGGCGGAGGCCAGGGGAGACTTGGGCGGAATGGCACGTCAGGACCATGAGGGGGGCGAGGGTGGCGCTTCACAAAGCCCAGGTCCTACGCTGGAGCACGTACGTGCTGGAACGAGTCTGGGACATTTACGGACACATGCCAGGGCGGAGCCCGGGGGGAGACCCATGCTGCTGTGGAAGAACATGGAATGGTGGGGCCAAGAAGTCCGGAAGCCGCGCAGCCAAAGGCAGTACTGGCACCAAGGCCGGTTCAACTCACAACTGGACCCGGAACGCCAGATTGTGAGGGTGGCGGGGGAAGCATGGCACGGGGCGGCGCAGGACCAAAAGGGGTGGAGCATCAGGGGGGCAGTCTTTGTCGAGAAATTTGATGTGGAGTGGAGTTCGGGACAGCAGCAAAGCCTGACAAACCTGACACCAAACAACCGGGCGGGGGGCAGGAGGCGGTACGTCACGAGTGAAGCCGCCAGGCTGAGGCGATGACGCACAACCACATGCTCGCAGCCAGCAGTGACAGAGAGAAGGGAGAGGAGAGACATGCAGTGCAGCATCCCATGTGTGAGGTAGACCAGTTGCAAGCAGTGAACATGTCAGTGCATGCCACGGTTGCGCAGTGAAAGCAGCAGGGCCGTTTGCACGCAGCTTTCAGCCTCAGGCGCAACAGAGCACGCCAACAGGCAAGCAAGTCCCGTGCCATGCGGCACGCACTTAACCTCCTAGTGCTGCTCAGCCTCTTCTGGCAGGGGTCCACCTCCACTACTTAGGCGGCCGCTGTGCTTATAGCATATATAACATGAACTTATAAATGTGCTATCAGGGATTATAACATACCTAAGGTTATGTTATACATGAGGTATTTGAGTATATTCCCGTTATAAGTCATGCAAAAGTTATATATTGGATGTAACCATTTGGGTGCGTTATAACTGCACTTATGGGGTCCTCGTAGATCGCGATTATAAGTACCACGTGGCAGTTATAACTGGGCTGCGAGGCACCCCCCAAATACCGATGTAGACGGACCGAAAACCCGCCGTGCATCCATTTTTGCTGCCCCCGGAGAACCGACGTAGATCACCCGAAAACCGCCCGTTGCTTTTCCCGAAATCAGAAAGCAACACTCCGCGGATCCAATTTTTGCTTCCGAATCAGAAAACAACCCTGCATGTTTCCGCCGAAATCAACCGACCACGCATGTTTTGGAACATGCAGGCAACACCACGACGTACACGATTCTTCAACGATATAGGAAGCCCCCGCCCCGAAAACCGCACTTTTTTTCAAGTTCATTTTTTGGCCATCGCCGGGAACTCGCTTTTCATCTCCGGAAATCATGTTTACATCCAAGCCAATATATCATTTGTTTTCCGCCTCAATATCATTCTTATCATTTATCCGGTTCATGTTTTGTGCAGTCGCATGCCCGCAGGGCCGTCGCTCCGGACGAACCGCGACATATGTGGCTCCACTGCGAGGCTCGCCCGCAGAAGAAGCAGCCATTTTGGCTGCAAGAAGGGCAGCAAACAAACACTGCAGCACGCACACTCTCAGCCACACAGAGGCAGCAGCACTCTCAGCCACACAGCAACCAAACACCCACACTCTCAGCCACACAGAGGCAGCACACTCTCAGCCACACAGCAAGCAAGCACCCAAGACTTTCAGGCACGCAGCCACGCAGACAGCCACGCACAGTCAGCAAGCGAAGCACAGTTTTCCGAGGCTTCGCCCGTTTTTGACTTCGAGGCTTTGCCCGAAGGAGTGCAGAGGCGTGGCCCGCCTTCCATGGCTCGGCCGGACCGTCCAGGAGTCCTGGGCCACCTAGGTCCCTTCCCTGTGGAGGCAGGGACGCTGACCTCCCAAGACCGGGAGGAGATCCGCCAGGAGACTGGGTGCACGGTGGGAGTGCGCGGGCGGAGTCAGTGGGGCTCGAGGTGCCTCACGGTCTGCGGACCGCCTTCAAGGCTGATGGCGGCGAAGGAGATGGCGGAGGAGAGGATCGCCAACTCCGTGGAAGACGCGCGGGCGCCGAAGCCAAAGGGCCCTGCGCATGGTCCCCCTTTTGGACCACTCTCAAAGGCGGCCAACAAGGGCAAAGGCAAGGGCCCAGCCAAAGGCGCCTTTGAAGGACCGCCGGCGCCTAAAACGCCGCCGGCAGCGCCAAGGCCGCAGCCAATGGCTGCCCCGGCACCCATGCCGGGGCAGAGTAACGGGGAACTTGCGATGCAGCTCCAGATCGCACTCAGCAGGATCTCGACGCTGGAGACGAGTGTGCTGCAACTTCAGACGTTGCAGAACTATGGAGGGCACCAAAGTGCCCTTCACGAGAGCCGCTTGCGCAAGGTCGAGGCCGACCTGTACTGGCAGGAGCGAAGGCCGCCACGCACACGCAGCCGCTCGCCTCCCGCAGCTGCCAGCAACAGCGGCCAGCCAGCGCCAGCACGCTCACGCTCCCAGAGTGCTGGCAGTGGCAGCTCCAGCAGCCAGCAGGAGTCACCGGCCTCCAAGGACCGTTGTTTTACCCTTATAAGACCCCTATAAATATAAATACACATTCTATAAACCCATACATATATATATATATACCTGGGTAGCTGAACGCTTCTTTGTTAACAGTTGTTTGCCTAAACGCACGCATTTCCCCGCAGCGGCCGAAAAGCACTGAACGCCCATATTTCCTCAAGGGTCCCTGAAATAGACTTCTTAATAGATCGGCTAAGTCGGTTTTTAATCCCTTGACAACCCCCAAGCCAGGCCTCAGGCCGATGCAAGTGCTCGGAAGATCAGGGGTTTTAGAAGATTACCGATGCAGAGAGAGTCCGTTCAGAGAAGATTCCAATTTGATAGATTCGAAAGCATCGAGATCTAGTAGATCCCAGAGCATGCTGTATACAAATAGACCTAATGGCCCTGCTCGTCGCATGTCTGGAACACCCTGATGCTGCAGAGAAGATCGGAAGGAATCCCTGGCATGATTCGGTTGCCCTTATTTTCCCGGCCAAATCAAAGAAATCTCCATCGATCAGCGCTTGCCAGGTGAAACCAACAATGGCCGGGAAAGGTGCGCCCACCTGTCGCAAGCCGTGCAAGTGATTGCCCGGGGGATTCACATGTTCTCTTTATATGCAGTTGTGGGGATCAAAGCCGAGACTTAGTTTGCTTGATATGCCTGCACCGTTTACTTTTCTGGCATGTGTGAAGATGTGGGATGCCCATCCTGCTCTCCGCAAGCGAGCGCGATCTCAACAAATTCTACTTCTCGAATCACGTGGGCGAAAGCATATTGCGCCGACATTGAACAACATCAGCCTGAACAAAACGGTGCTGAAGCCCTTTACAGAGGTCATGGCCACCCATGGAATTATACGCAAATCTCTTTCACTCGTGAACCAAGCGATCGATGCCTTCTATCACCAGGAACTTCTCGATGAGCAAAGCAAAGATCCTGTAATCCTGGCAAGAAAGGAGAAGGCGGCTAAGAAAACCTCCAAAATCATCAAGTCTATGTTGACATCAGTGAAACGCAAGTGGTCGAGGTGGGAAATGCCTCGTGATTCCTTTTTTGCATACGGCATTCCCTTTCTGATTGTGCATTTCTGTTCGGGTTGGAGAAAAATCGATTTGTGTGTTTGTGTTTGCGAACTACGATTGGAATACAAGGATGACGCTATTCGGGCCATGGTTCTTGACTTGGCAAACGCTTACTCGAAGGCGTACGAGGACACCATAGTGCACACAATGACATGCGCTGGTGTAGCAAATCTGTTGTGTAGGGATGCGTGCATGGTGGGTCGAAACGAATATATTCCCGGATTCCGAGTCTTGCCCAAGCTAGGAAGGCCGCTGTGCAGTTCGCAAGCCGAAAAGGCCTTCAAAGAAGAAATCCTCACCCGCCTCCGAGAGTTCTGAGAGCGACATGGAGGATGCGACATTGAAGCATTTGCTGAACCTGTGCTGCATGGATTCGAAAGCCACTGGGGGCCCATTCGAAGCTGGCCTCACAACCTCGCAGCAGATGGAGCTCCAGGAACGGTTGGGTTTCATTTCGGATCCTGAAGTTCATGCTCGGAAGGCTGCGGATGCAGTCCCAGCTTGCTTGAAGGCCCCAGACCAGCAGTGGCTCGAGGAACGATTGGGTTTCAGTTTGGATCCGGAAGTTCATGCTCGGAAGGCTGTTGAGAAGCGAGATCAGGGTGATCAGGGTGCATCCGTGCTCACAGCCTCGCCTTTTGAAGACACTTTGAGTGAGGCCGCGATCCAGAATATGTTGGCTGCAGGTGACCACATGTCGGCTCCAGTTGAGCCTGAGGTTTCGAGATCTGCTGCTGCTGCCCCAGTAGAGGATCCACTTGAGCAGCCTATCTTTCCTCAGACGGATGGTCCGGCTGAAGCGGAAGTTGAGCCGAAACCGGAAGCACCCCCCGCGGACAGTCCTGGGAAGGGTAAATGCACAACCCCGGCGAAGCCAACATCCAAAGCCGCCCAAGTGATTGAGATTTCGCCCAGCGCCCCAATGGAAACTGAGTTGCATGATGCATTTTCCATAGTTGTGCATTTTTCCATAGTTGTGCAATCCTTATGTCATTCAGATCGAATCCACAGCTAGACCATTTCCCAAGGAGTTTGGTGCGAAGAGGACTGCTGAACCTCTCCCTCGCTCTACAGGGCTTGCTGCGCAGCTTGCAAATATGGACCCCAAAGCCATTCAGCAGCTTCTGTCGGTTGTCAACATGAAGCTGGAGTCGGCTAAGAATCTAGCCGCATTTGAGTATATTTGTGTATTCGGCATATGAGTGGTCACGATTTATATAGATCGGGCCTTATGTAGTTTGATCGGTCGAACATCACAGGGCCGTGAAAGCCGACGATCACGCTGTGAAGCGCTCACTTTCCTTCGGCTCCGAAGTCTCGACTACGTATGGCAATGACGGTGATTCTACGTCAGGCAATCGAACAGCATTGCATTGTATGCGTATTCGGTTTCATTCGGTTGCGGATTTTCCTTTGCGAAATAATGTTTGCTTCCTTTGTGTCCCAATGCGTGCAGGTTCTGCTGCCACGAACTCCGTGAAGGATCATGATGAAACCCAGGCATGGTGTCCAACGACAAGTGATTTGCTCACCGCTTGGGCAGATGTTGTGAGAGACAGGAGGCCGAGCTTCGCGAACGCGAAGCAGAGATTGCGCAGAATGAGCGTGAACACAAGCTCTTGAAAAGCCAAGAAAAGCTACGACAGCAGCTTCGTGACCGGGAGGATCGCCGGGCAGCGAAGGTTACAGAGAGCAACCTTCGGCGACAGTCAGACGATGTTTCTCCTGAGGAGAAGCCCGCTGCTAGTGCGTTATCAGTATCGATGTGCTCGTACGATGTCTAAATTAAAATCGCATACTAGTGCGTTGTGATCTTGCTCTGGATTTCCAAGGCTGCGTGCGTGATCACTCGGCAAATGCAGCTGGGACTCACGGCTGCTAAGCGAAGCAAGGCGACTGATGAGAACGAGGGTTCAGAGCCGGAGACGGGAAAGGCTAAGCCGAAGAGCAAGGCCAAGGCCAAGGCCAAATCCAAGGCCGCAGCCAAAGGAAAAGCAAAGGCGAAGGCCAAAAGCTCCGGTTCCAAGAAGAAGCAGCCTGCTGCAAGCACAACAGCTGCGGAGGAGGACGCCGATGGGCCACCTGAGGCCGAGGAGGCCGTTGCTGCATCCGGTGACGAGGAGGCCGATGCTCCACCGGAGGAGGCATTGGATGAGTCTGTTGGTGAGCCTCCCAAGGGCAACGCAAAAGCAGGGAAAAGACCCAAGGTCTTCAGATCCATGTCTAAGCGCCGCCTTGCGTGCAAAGGGTCGACAGGATCTGCATCCAAGAAGGGTTCCCGCAAATCCAAAGCCGGCAAGCCCGGCAAGGCGATTGCGGAGCCTGCGGAGAAGCCTACGGAGGATGACCTGAATGCCACGCAGCACTATACGAGGACGGCGAGGACGGCGAGGAGCTTGCGGGCGAGGCCGACGATAATGATGAGGGCAGTTGGTCTTGGCCAGCTGGTGGTATTATTGCCGGTCGCGTGAACCGGAAGCGCAAGGCCGCAGCCGGTGGTGCGCAGCGTGGTCGCGCAAAGAAAAACAAAGCCAAGGCAACCGAGGAGATTGCGGAGCCGCCCACGGAGGCCGATGACCCCGAGGAAAAGGAGGAGCCCCACAACGAGCCCGAGGACAAGGATGCCCCTGCTGAGCGACAGACCTTTGCCAGACGAACTTGTGCTGACAGGGGTTGGAATAAGGCCCGATGGGAGGCCATCCGGGATGCGTACAACGCAAAGATCCGCTGCTTTGTGATCGGCCACTCAGTTCTTGAGGACCTTTCTGCTTCGCTTTGGTTGGGGCCACTTGCTGCGCGGTAGCTAGCTTGAAAGTTGTATAATATTTGCAGGATACCTTCTGGTCCTATGTGGTCAAGAACCTCAAGCAGCGTGGTCAAACGCCCGAGGTAGAGGAGTGGCCCACCGTTGCGATGGATTCGGCTTGGGAGTTTCTTCGGGATGAGGATATCAGCTCCTGAACTCAAATTTGGGCTTGTGCGTAGGTCTTATATTGTTCTCCAATCCATTCGGGTCGGCTGTTCGTTGCATTGCTTTGCTGTTTCCAGCTAAGGCAAGAAGTGGACTGACACCGGCCGGGAGTGTTTCGATGGACCCAAGAGGAAGACTCGAAAGCAAGTCGAGGCGGTTCTCAAGAAACTTGCAGGGAGCAGCCACTGATTCCTAGAATCGAGTGGCTTATAGATCGATGTGACCTCATGCTTTATGCGCAAGGGGACCTGGGGTACGAATGAACCTCTTGCTGCACAAGCTGATTTTGGTCCCCTGGGCCTTTGCGTTCCCATTTACAGCCTCCGAGCGACCGGCCGAAAGATCGCTGGTTTGTACGATCGATCGATATTGCAACTTTATTCAGCTATGCACTTACCATGCTTTGGGTTATGTTAGTCGGTCTGCTGGAGCCTTCTGTCTTCAATCATCTCTATGGAGTTAAATCCGTTTGCTGCGCTTCCGATCTACTGAGCTGGCGCAAAAAGCCTTAAATTGCTTTCCAGAGTGAACCCCGAGACTGCGTGGCACAGTGAGTGCATGGCTTCTTTGACAGTGTGTGTTACATGTATGTATGAGCCCGCTTGGAGTCCTCAGCTAGCGAAGCCGCCTTCACGCAGGTCATGGATCCTCGCCGCCCTGACGAAGCCGATTCTGATGGTGGACTAGATTCGAGTTCAGGACGCCACCCCCCCTGCGTGCACATGCAGATCACTTGCTTGAGATTACCAGATGCGCATTTCACCGATAGCTTCTGACTGTGCATGTGCCTCATGCATGTCGATTGCTTTCTTCTGTGCTGCACTCTTACCGACATGCAGCTTTTGTCCCGGCTTCAAAGTTGCTGGCCTTGTCTGGCCAATCCAAGCCAAGCATGAAGCCAGAGCACATGGTCGGCAACCTGCTTCGACTGCAGGCACCCAAGGCTTGCGAACCCAGCGTAGAACACTAGCATAGATAAAACTTCTAGTGTAATATTCCTTTTGCCAAAGTTGTCACTGCAGGCCTTCATCCTGGCTCTCCTGTGCCTCTTGTTCAATGACCGCTTCAATACGAAGCAGGCCGGGCCTCCGCGTGAATAATTAAGCTCCGACACACACTCATGCACACATGATCGGATCTCACTGGGTCTCAATGAGTCTGCGCAGGTGTTTCCATTCTTAGAGCACTATGCTGGCGAAGCCGTGATGAGCAATGCTGTGCGGGATGTGCACGCCTGCCCAGTTGCTTCACTAGATATCAAGTATGCTCGATATATGGACGTGACAACGCCGAGTGGCTTTGCGATCGGGACCCAGTGGTTTTGGAGCAGTTGTTCGATTCATATCATAGGTGCCCTCTAGATACCATAAATTAAACTCGGTTTTCCCTTTGTGCTTTCTGCCGATCGAGGCTACACCTGGTGTCCGTCCTGAAGGGTGCAGATGAAGGTTTTACGCTATGGCAGGCCATGCAATGTAGCTCGTGGGTTTCAATTGCGCGCGGTGCGACCCTACGATCCTATCTGAATCCCTTGGGCCTCGAATCTTTGGACTCTGTGGCCAAAGGAAATAGCATGCTCAGCAGGACCGGTCTGTCAAGCTTAGCCAACAAAGCCTTTCATAATTAATTGGATCGATCAAACAAAAACCCCGCAGCCCAAGCCTCATATTACGTAGAATCTCCAACAGGCCCAGCATAGAAATCCCTCGTAGAAAAACACGTGCGAAAGCCTCCTGCGTGGTCTGCTTTGCCAGGACAGTGCTGATTTCCTTGCTCTGCGCCGCCTTGGGTGCAGTCTGGGTTCTTGAGCAACCAGGATCGTCTTTGGCTGCCCGTCATCCACGATTTCAGTGGCTTTGCACAGTTCACGAGGTTCCAACCTATACAAGCCTTATATAGTCTAAATATAAGCTCTGTCGACCAGTGCATATAGGGTTTGGGGTTTTAGGGTTTGGCTGTCCTTGCAGGTGTTTGTGTGCAAGTTTTGGATGATGCACTACAACCACAGCAGCCCCAAGCGCACAATACTCTGGAGTTCCTCTCGGCAAGTATTCCGGTTTCAGCGGGGGCCGTTGCGAAGATCATTCAAGCTTCAGCAACAGCTACGACACAAAGCCGATCCAACCGTCAAGAGGACTGTGGATAAGAACGGGAAACCAAGATTCACTAGAACTTCGAGCCTCAAGGCAACCCAGACCGGGTCTTAGTTCAAGTGGACATTCATGCATGTATGTGATCGATCTTGATGCGCTTGCAGCTGAATAAATCGCTTCTTGTGCAGAGGCTTTTCCAGGCTTGCGTAGGATCGATCCTAAAAGCCTCTAAAGTCTGCTTGCTTAGGACCTATACTGCCGACTTCGCCCACTGCATGTCAGATCTGCTCCCAGCCTTCAACAAGTCCGGCCGCCGAGCCGCAGCTGGAAAGGCTTCCTGTGAGGAGGACGAAGTGATTGAGTGTTTGCGGAAGCTTGAGATGGGAGCTGATGATTGGTCCGATGCGGGGCTTCCGCAACTTCTGAAGTATGTGTATGGTGCCAAGGGATTGCGAATTCCGCTCAAGTGGCAACCGTGCTTCCCTGCTTCACATTTCAAGTAAGATCTGCCGGCCCCGGACTGTAGGTCTGCCTGACCCTGACATGCCATGTTTGCTTTGCAAGCCAATTAGTCAAGCGTCGCGCAGCCACAACTGTAGGGATCGAGAAGTTAACTAGCTAGCTCCATATGCATGCAATACCCTGTGGCCGAGCGTGATTCTGACTTCTTCTGTAGCACAGACAGTAGCAGGATGTCGCCCAAACCCGCCTCGCATAAAGATCGCGGGAATCTTTGAGGGCTTCCTGCGGGAATCAACTTTGTTTGTGGGAGGTGAGCTACTTGGGGTAGGGCTTTAAAAGGGTGCGTGCTACTTTTGCGGTTTTTTGTTTGGTTTCCTATAATACAGGACTGTCTGTTGAGCGGTGTGTGCACACCTTCGCACCGAAGGGCTTCTGGGGAAGGTGTAGGGCCGTAGAGCAGGGTCGGGTTCTCTAAAGGACTCCAAAGACAAGCCGGCAAGGACTGTCGCTGAATATAGCTTCTTCGCTGGATTCTCGCTTCATTGGTGCATCTGAACATCAAACTTATTTAAACTACGTAGCATCAATCAACAGGACATACGTATACACGATATCGACTGTAGTTGCCGAGATCTAGGCTGCGTTCAAGAATCGCAAAACTCACCCGACTTATCATGGAAGATTCACTAATTAGACTTCCCAACAAACACAACCCCGTCATAGCCTGTCCGTCCGATTAGTTGACCAAAGCGATCTAGAACGTTGGTCTGTTTGAAGCCAGGCTTCCCGCAACCCTGCTGAATAATCAAGCTCTATTGAGGAACAGCTCCTGCATGAATCTTGAAGACCGCATGATTGCACACCTTCTTCGTACTGATATAGGCTTCATGGTGGATATTCGGTAGATCGAGATTACTTAACGTTGTACTGTCCTACGTAGATTCAAGTATAAGTTTTCTGCGTGCATGCATGCAATATACACACACACACACACACCCTTGAAATGGAGCACGTTGATTCCCTCGATCCTTAGTGTGCCTTGGCATGCTATATTTGCATAGAAGGCAGTTTAGGCAACCTCCGTTCCCGCAAAAGCAGGGTGGATCGATCGAGCCAAGCCATGCTTCCTTGAGTTAGTTTCTTTTATGGGGTGGGTTGGTCGCTGGGTTGGCTTGGGGTGGTGTAGTGTGGTTTGGTTTGGAGCTTGTGTGCTGTGTGATTTACGTGGTTTCACGGTTTGCGGTGTTTCTGGGTGGTTGCATGGTGTATGGGTTTTTGAAGGTCTGCAATCTTTCTACTCTACAGTTAGGCTGCGGGGGTACATAATTGGGGTTGCGAGGTTTGGGGGTTGCACGGCTTGGGCTTGCAAGGCTTGCTGTTGCAGGGTTGTTTAGACCTGACCGCCGGCTCATGTGGACGAGGCTCGCTTGCGGGGTTGGGGCCCCGCAGAGCTTTTGTGTGCATGGTATACACGTGGCTTCGTGCTTTCCTGGTTTTGGCTTAGCCGAGTTGTGCTGTTGTCGGGTGCTTGGCCCGGTGGAGGGTTGCAGGCTCTGGTGGTTGTAGGGTTTGGACGATTGTCGGTCTATATCGACCGAATGTAGATCGTGTCTCCATATAATGCCATCGATCGATTGCAATTATTAAGGGTTTTTGGTGTCAGCCCCAACCTGGGTTGCAAGATTTCTTGTTGCAGGGTTTGCTGTGGTAGGCTTGGTTGTGTGTGTTCGCTCATGTATAGGTTTCCTTGGTTGCGGGGCTTAGGGCTGCGGGGTTTGTGGGTGCAGCTGGACCGGTGTGCATATTAAACGGGTTCTGCAAGGATTTTGGCAAGTTTGGGTTGTGTGTGTTTTGTGCTGCAGGCATGCGCCTTTCGAAGTCTACGCTGTATTCTTGGGTTTCGCGCAATTGTGCTACTGAGGACTAGAGAGCTCTGCGGGATTCTTGCTTTCGTGTTTGTTCGGGGTGCAGGCTTTGCGTGTTTGGTGGTTTTGCGCGGTTCGTTTCATGAAATTGCGCAGGTCAGGGACATGCGAAACGCGCAAAGTAGTGAGGTTGGGGTTTCACGCAATTTGGGATTTTGGGAACGACCGGAAACACCCGCGCAACGACCGCACAAATGCGTGCAACAGCCGAAAAAGCGCGCGCCAACGACTGCTTCTGTTTTTGCGCTAGTTTAAGCCCATGCACGCCGTTTCCCGCAAGCGCAGCCCCGTTTCGCGCAAACACAGCCTGTAGGCCTGTATGCTTTTCGGTGCCTTTTGACCATGGCCCTTTCGAGAAACCAGCATTCAGCGGAGAGCCTCATTGGTGGCTTGTCAATGCTGTTGCGGCAAGCATCCAGCGGTGACACGAGCGAGCTGGAATCAATGGCACAGGACAGATGCATGCGCAAAGTTATGTATGCATTGCGTGGAATATCACACTGCATGTATTGCGTGCATGCACTTAACACGCAGGCCTGCTTTTGTACATCATGCATATAGAGTGCAAGTTAGCATTTGTTTGTTCAGGCCCGTGTGCTTCTGTGACTGGGCATGCTTGTGCGTGTGCACACATGTGTGTCTGCATGCCCTTTGTATTCCTTAAACCCTAATGACCCTAAGCCCTAAACCCCTTAAGATAAATTCTACGCAGGAGCTTCAGAAAGCCCTGCGCCAGCCCCGAGCCTCGCCTGTGAAAGCCGAACCCACGGATGCCCCTGGCACTGCTCTTGTCCCAGTGCCTCGGTAATCGCACAAGCCCGCAAATGCGAATCCGCTGCCTTTGTTAGCTTAGTTTTCCTATAAAAAGCGCTATATACGAACACAGCTTAATTCAGGTGAAAACCGAAGAGCCTGATCATGCTTTGCCGTCCACACCCACACCCACGACGGCGCCTTCTACGCCTGCTCGCACGCCCGACCCTGTGGTTGATGCATCTTGGTCCCAAAACCCGGAGTATCCTAGCTTCGTAGCGGAACAGAGCCTTCTATGTTTCGGCTTTTCATCCCACGCAACAACAATGGCCTGTGTTCCCAGTATAGCATGTTTAAACTATATACACGCGAATGCATATACTTAACCTATGCAGACATTATGCATTGTACATCACAGGGCCCTGAAAGTCCTTATTCACGTGTGGTTTCAAATTACTTAGGCTGCGCAGTTGGCCCAACCAACACGATCATTTAGTGCCATCTGAACACCCCAAACCCTAAACTAGACTAGTTATGCTCACATCCAAAAGGCAGTCATTGTCACTCATTCTACGTAAAGTAGTCGAGATCGAAAATGACACCAGCGACCAAGGCTTCCGATGAATTTGCGTAATTACTAAGTGTGTCCTATGGAAAGAAGCCTTCGACCATCTGTGATATGGAGTGAGTTCCATCTAGAAAACAGATTTGCGAGGCATTGGTGAAGCAAATGCAGATGATGCAGGCTGTTATCGCGCAGCAGCAGGAAGCTCTGGATGCACGCAAGCCGCCAGTGGAAGCTTCTGTGACTTCCCCCACAGCCTCCCTGTTGCCTGCGAAGAGACCCGCTTCTGTTCCTTGCTAACCCACCATTATGCTGACTTTTGAGCATAGATGCTCATCCTGACTTTCTGGATCGATTTATATGTGTAAAAAATTGATCGAACATAGTATATATAGAGTCTGTGCCGAGACCACCCAAGGCTATGCAGTCCTCACCAATGAAATCTAACCTCGCGACCTCGAAGCAACAAGCCGAGCACCCTGCGGTGCCGCCTCGCGCAGAGAAGACGAGCCGCTCGAGCCCGCCACCTTCAGAGCCCAAGTCTGACAGCGAGTCTGAGGTTCCGAAGGTTTTGCTTTCGAAATCCTTGGACCGCAATGAGAAGAACAAGGTCAGGAGGATTTGCACCCCCAAGCCAGGAAGCGGTAATCTCGAGGTTCCCGAGAATATCTTTGAGATGTTCCAAGATGCTGCTACGGGTCGCGAAACCCTCTACAAAATGTGGGCCAAAAGTGGTGGTGTGAAGGTGGGCCGGCTATCTATACCTCCACTATCTTGCTCGATTTAGTTCTATAGTCGCTCGAATTGAGGACTCTCGTAAGCTAGTTAAGGAGTTCTCTAGGGCTCTGCTACGATGGAAATAGATGGCCTCGAAGTCTACTTGGAACCCAGGTAGTTTGCTCGATCGAACACAAACACATGGGCACATCTTGAATTCAGGCCGTGTTCCTCGAGTCTGTCACAATTATGTGTCAGACGAATCGCAGCAAGAAGCTCACGGTAAAAGGCGGCTTCTACTCCAAGGAGGATATGCGAGCCGAATTGGGATACAGTGCGAGCCTTGCATATAAGATTAATGCATACATTGTTTTCTTGCGCTTTAGACTGTGCAGCCCTGAACCTAAAGCTGTTCAACTCTAATCTTCGTGGAAAACGAAAGTCTAGCAGGCCAGGAAACCCCATGCAGCCCCATCGGAGTTGAGCTCAGGGCTCGCATCGAGAAGATCGTCAAGTGGGCTGAACAGAAGGGCCTGGTGCGGAAGCTTGGCAGCACACTCTTATAGTTTTCGCCCACCGATAATCCTTTTACGCTAAGGCCCCATGAACAGCTCCTACAAATCCTAAACCCCTAAAAAAATTCAATCCTAAACCTTATGTCTTTCATGCCCGAGACCCGAAACCTCAAACTTCGCAAAGGCTTCTAACCTTCAGTGGTTCATGCATGAAACGTACCGGAAAGGTGTGCGTGATATGCTTTCACACGGATCGGCTGGGGCTGCAGCGGTTTCGCGACATTTGTCGATCAAAACATGTGTCCTAAGGTTGAAGCGACCATGCTTATGTGGATCGATGGATGTATATGTTATACAGGTCACTCTAGTCACTAGCTTTCCATTTATCAGCCAAGCCTACACCCTACAGGTACTATAATCTTCCGACTGCTATATGAATTCGAATAGAGTTGTACATGTGCATTTATTACACCAGCTGCGGGACTTCAGACTCTGGTTTTCTTCAGGCTTCAGGCTCAATGTCCGATCCATATATTATTTAAATTCAATTAGTATGCCGGCTCCAAGACTCTATAGTTATTAGGAGGATCGTACTTTGCAATGCGTGACTTGGTCCCTGGCTTCTGTCGGCTGCCGATGTACATGCTCCACACCTGAACTCCGACGTGCAAGCTCTTCGATTCTACGCGGTACTTAATCGACGTGCAGGCAAACCCGCGACTCGTGATGAGTAGCTGCACATGAAAACCCGCACAGAAACCCGAAAGTTACCTGATTGCCCTGAGCAACAACGCCTCTGAGGAAGTGCGAGTACGATGAGGAAACCCTCGAGTACTGGGTGAACATTCGAACCGAAGGCTTGCTTTCCAAGGAAGATATTGAGTCTTTGACCCACGAGAAGAAGTACGAGGGCACCGGAGGAGATGAACTGTGCTTCCAACCGCGGGTTCATGTTAATGGCTTCGACTTCACTGGTGATGAAGACATGCTCAATATTGGGGATGGAAGCAAGGAAGGTGATCAGCAGAAATCTGCCTCTTATCAGTTGGAATCATCGACGAGTCGAGTCGTTAGAGTACAATGACATTCGGTTTGGTTTGTGCAACCCACTCCCACTCTGCACCCTAGCCCTGGCAAGCTTAAGGTTTCAGTGCTGCTGGATGAGCATCTCACGCACACCTTGAAAGCGAAAAACAGCCTTAGCAGCTTCCTCGACAAACTGCGAACGGCTGGTGCTGGTGACCCGAACTGTTCTGGGACGCTCGCTCCCAAATCTTATACATGTGTAGTTGCTGTGATACCTTGACCACGTCGGTGTCGATGTCCATGTAGCCTGGTCTGTCTGAGCTCCACCTGAGGCCGATCCAAAAGTTGGAGGCGATGCATAAGGAGTTTGAGCAGGTGTACGAGGAGATGGCTGATGCCAAAGCTGAGGGCAAGATCAACAAGTTTTCAGAGAAGCTACCGAGCCGAATTGTTTGTAAACCCTATAAACCCTTAAATGCTGAAGCCCAAATCCTCTGCCCTATAAACCCTAAACCCACACCATCCTAGGCTGGAGACAGAGTGCCAAGCGATGTTCAAAAGGGCTACGAAGCTGAACCTTGTCTTGCACTATGGCGTAATCTCAAAGTCTGCGTGGATCGATCTTTATGATCCAAATTAACCTATTTTCGGTTTTGCGCGCCTCTGCACCATAGCTACTTAGGATCAGCAAAGCCGCCACTTTGGAGGCTTCGCACAAGCAGCTGTGACTGCACGAAGTTGTTACACTTCACGCCGGTCCTACGGGAAATGTTTCTATCGTGTGATCTATGAAATCCGCGCTTCTTGGCTGAGGCAGACGCTGAGCAAGATGCGCAGGTCCAAGAAGAAGGGCGACGAGGATAAGTGATCTCGGCTCTGCTTGGGGCCCGGGCTGCGGGGTTGCTTTTCAAAAGCTCAAGAGCTTTCGCAGTTCATGCTACCAGGTAGCTTCTGCGTGATTTTGCGTTTGGGGGTTCGATATCGAGCTCTCGTGCTGCCCTGTCTGAAGCTGCACAGACTTGGAGCTGCAATGATGGTCCGCATTATGTACGTGTTATACTCAGTGTAGGAACGAGGCCCTGGTCTTCGCAAAGCTTTCAATTTCACCCTATGCATATAGGGTATGCTCCGGCCAGCCACAACGAGCCGATTGCTCAGACAGGTTTTCAGTCTCACTGCTAGGCGGTCCTTATGATCGACCGTGATTAATTCGGGTTAGCAGGCTGAGCGAGATCGTTTGTTCTGTTGGTAGCCTTGGCCTATCCCCAAAGCCCATATGACCTAAGAAGGTGTAAGGTCTGGGTGGATCGATCCGAAGTCTGCTTTTATGGGAGCCGCAACGGTCGCGGACCCTGCTCGTTTCGGAGCTGCTTGACCGTGCGTGAAGTCTGGCTGGGGTGACAATGCTTCATTGCGCAGGTTTTTGAATTGCTTCCCAACAAACCCATGTGATCGCGGCAAATCTTAAACCGTCGAGCCTAGGACTCTAGAAAGCAAACCAGGGACCTCTACCGTGCACCCGACTCTTGCATTTCCATCGAATAACTTAGGCCCTGCAAGACGAGTCAGCTAGCAGACCCCCCAAACTTTGGGCATTCAAACAAAGATCACGTCTTCCTGCAAATACCAACTAAGTAGTGCACAATCTAATGTACCGATTCATATAAGGGAAACCTTAACAACCACGCAGGTTCCGAAGATGACAACTACATCAGCGAGCAGGTCCACGTCATTGTGAAGAAGTACGGCAAAGGTGTGTGGGCCCTAGAGATCAGATACCTGTATATCAGATGCAGATCCTAAGCCAAATGGGAGCTTGCCAGCCTACAGTACATCGTGCCCTTGCTTCTGCGCATCTACGGCATGTCTACTTTTGCTCAACTGTTGCTGGCATGCACTCGCGTGCTGCCGTGGATCTCAATGCACAGGTAGATCTCGATCGAGGCATGCATGCATACTAAGGCCCGTGAGTGTGCATCTAGGGTGAACTGCAGGAATGTACACTCTTCGTAGGGCTTTAATATGTTGTTATCGGACCTACTACGTAATATCTATCTAGTTTGGATCGACATATGTTAGATGTCCGCACTACGCTTCAATGTTTTCCCATGGAGTGATTCCGAAGACAGCGGAGACCGGACCCCGCAACTTAGTCCAACTCCTGCGTTAACCGGGCTCCCCTGCACGGCAAAACTTCGTGAAGACCAGAACGACGCAGACCTGGATGTGAGGGTTGTTGGTGAAGCCAACACAGCTGGCAAAATCCTTCGGCGCTGCATCGGTGTCGTGAGGAAAGTTCGGGAGGAGACCGGGGGTGAGGCATTATGCGTTTTCAACATAGGGCTAACCGCAAATCCTCTTCAACGGAGGGAAAGCTACCGCAAACAGAATTTCAAGAAGTTCGTCATCATGCACCAGACCTACCGCTCCGATCTTCTGGGTATGATGGAAATGTTGGAAGCTGCCGTTATTGCTGAGTTCTACGACAATGGTTACCGGTGCCGAAACCGACAACTCGGTGGGGAAGGTATGCGTGACCGACACCAAGAGCCTCGTTTCCATCCTCCGTATTATGCCTACTGTGCAGCTACGAATGCTTCGCAAAGAGAGCCCATTCTGGGGTAGCTTCGATCGACTTTAGAGCGGGTACATACAGTGTGTGTTGGGTGTGAAGTACTATATACAACTACTGTGAAGCAGAGAGCCTATTCTGGGTCAGTTGAAACTATAGCTATGTGAGATGTACCCATAGGGGCGGGGGTGCTGGGTGTGAAAGCACACTGCAAAGTCAGCACAATGCCAGAGCTTCGTGCGTTGTGCAAAATGATCTTTGCTTCTGCATGTAAGTCAGGTCTGTGAAGCTTGTGCACTGCTTCAAGCGCAATGAGCGGTCTTTGCACTCTTAGCTTTTGAAATCCCTTTGTCGGCCGAGGTCCCCGCGAAAGACCTCGTCCTGGATGCCAGGACTGCAGCGAAGACGGACTCCTGCCATGTGTTAAAGAAAATCGCGAGTGCGAAAGAATCCAGTGCGGACGCTCCACTCTTCAAGATTCTTCGACAGTACGGGTTGGCACTGCCGGCACCTATCTCTGTAAAGAAGGTTGCGACCCTGGAAAATTATCCGTACTTGGACCCTGCATCTCTTCTTGAAGTGTTGAGTGGGAATGGCTACTTTCACAAAGTGCTTGGAGTGCCGGTCCACTCGGCTGAAGCATGTTTGCTGTCCTTCTGGGAGAAATTTCGAGAGCTGCATCCCAACCACGGAATATTCTCGCAATACCTTTTTCTTGGCAACCTGATTCCGTACTATCTTCACGGGGATGGTGGTCGTGGTTACAAAAAAGATCCGATCGAGATCTTATCAATGTTCCCTGCCCTTGGTGCGGGATCCAGATCGAACCCTGTAGATTTGAGCGGCAAACGAAAGCATGATGACTTGACTCTGGGCATCAATCTTCGGGGGAACTCTGGCACAACAAGGTTCCTGTTCGCAGTTCTCAGCAGCCTTGTCTACAAGCGCAATCCAGGTGCTTTCGATGGGCTTTTGGATTTGTGGGGTCAGAAGCTGCAAAGCCTTTTGAGCGACGGATTTCAGGCCATGGGGACTACGTGGTATGTTGCCATTATAGGATTCACTGGCGATTCTCCGTTCGTCAAAAAGGTTGGTAACATGAACAGATCTTTTCATAATGTCCGAAAGCGAGCTTCGTCCAAGAATGCTAATCAGACTGGGTGCTGTTGGCTGTGTATGGCGGGAACCGAAACCGCAACCGAGAACTACCCCTTCGAGCATGTCGGATTTTTCGAGCCAGCTTGGATACAGACGCAAAGACACAACAACCAAGTGCCCTGGGAGGACAACGGTGGCCCGCTGCTGCCCTATATGCTAGTGGATGCTGACGATACTCCGTCAGCCTGGTTCAAAGCCGATCTGTTCCATGTGTTTCATGCTGGCGTCGGACAAGACTTTACGGCCTCTGCAATCACGTATAGCATGCGGTTGCTATTCAATCGCGGTGGCTTCGAAAGAGACCTTGTAGCCTTGAATGAGGTCCTGGCTACATTCATGACATCCCACAGAAAACGCCTGCACTGCGGCTTTTTGACGAAGGACCTGCTAGGTTATGCCTCCACCCGTGAGTTTCCTGAAGGCAAGTGGTCCAAGAACAGTGACACTGCTGTGGTGATGCAGTTTTTGGTTTTCTTTTTACAGCAGGAAGAGTTTGCGGACCGCGTGCGAAGCGATGCAATCTTGAGTGAAATCTTGGAGGCGGCTCTTGCGATGGGGCGAGCGATTCGCAAATCTTTCCGAGCCGACTTCTTCATGTCATCGGACGATTGCGTTGAAATCATCCAGTCACTCGGGATAAGCAGGATTTGTTTTTTATAAGGCTCAACCTGGTCGTCATATGGTAATAACACTGTCGAACGTTTCATTTGCGAATTTTATCTGGTTTTATTTCACATTGGCTTTGGGCAATCGACATAAGAAGGAATGGCCACGCTTTCCTGTGCGGCTACTCCAATCTCTGCAGCATGTGCTACCGCAACGAGTTGTGCTTATTCAAGAACAGGCCGAAACTGCACTATCTGAACCACATATTTCTGCGCATCTACACTGAATGGACATTGGCGGGGACAGCCGTGAATCCTATCGCCGAAGCAACCTTCATGTCTGAAGACTTTGTAGGCCACACGGCCCGTATTTCCCGAAGGGTGGATCCCAGATCAATCGCCCGCAAAGTGCTTCAGCGATATTTATGTTGGATTCGAACGGCGTTGGACAAAGATACCCTGCTGAACCTCGACCTTTCCTGGCTCGACTAGCTAGGACCAGAGCAACTCGAAAGCAATAACAGCATATTGTTTATCCGAAGGGCTGATCAAGCAACAACAAGATCCTGAAAACACTCTTATTTCCCAGGTTCGCTCCTCGATCGGCTGTGAAGCCACGTCGCGATGGCACCAAAACATGGGCATTGAGGGCTTCGGACTTTCAGCGGAGCTTCAGGTTGAATCGAGGCTTCTGTGCCCTTCCGAAGGCGACTTCATTCAACATCCCAGTACTTTGAACTCCCAATAATTCCAAAAGAATACCTGCACTCGCAATCCCACAAGTTTGTGCCTTATCCTGTCAAAACCCAAACGCCCGAAATTTCAGGCAGCGACCGCATTTGAGAGGGATTTCGGCTGCGGCTGTTTCTTTCCGGTGGTCGGGCTTCACAGGTATATATATATATATATATATATTTGAGAAGGCTCGCCTCTCAAAGTAAAGATATAAATATGTATATAAATTCAAATGTAAATTTGAAGGCTCGCCTCTCAAAGTGTGTATTGTGCACGCAGGACGATGCCGGGGCAAGCAAGATCGCCCAGAAGGAGGACCGGCAGCCGAAGGCGGAGGAGGAAAGCTCGTCTTCTTCGCCAGCCCAGGAGCCGGAGCCTGTGCCGGCTGCAGAAGCAGCAGCTGCAGAAGCACCAGCTGCAGAAGCGGCAGCTGCAGAAGCAGCAGCTACAGAAGCGCCAGCTGCAGAAACGCCAGCTGCAGAAGCGCCAGCTGCAGAAGCGCAGGAGCCTCCGGTGCCCAAGACTGAGCCCAAAGAGGAGGCGGCTGAGGCATCGCCCGGCCCTGACTTTCAGGCCTCCGCAGAGGAGGAGCTGGTGGCGCCTGTTCGGGAGACGGCAAGCCCGACCTCGGAAGCAGAGGGCGAGCAGGAAGAGGTGGCGGTGCTGGACACCTTGAACCTGACTTCCAAAGCATCGGCTCCGCCGCCGCATCCTGAAAAGGGCTTTCCGTATCCCTTCACGCAGTGACAGCTCCTTGAAGTTTAGCCCTAAAGCCTTAAAAGAAACAGCTACAAGCTCTAAAAGGCCGTGAAGGGTTTCGGGAATTGACGAGGCTTGCCCGTCCTTGCACGACTCGAAGTCTTTTGCAGAAGAGAAAAGGCAAGCCAGATCCTCGAAAGGTTTGAAAGATGCAGGCCTGCACATTTCCTGGACCACTTCTGTTTGCTCGAATAAAACCCACGATTCGAAACTTGAGAGTTTGTTCGCCATCTCAAGCTTCTCCAGCGACCAGTATACAGGTATAGCTAAACAGACTGACTCCTCAAGCAGCTGAAGCAGGTTGGCCCCTCCGTAAACCCTATAAACCCTAAACCATAAACTCTAAACCCTAGACCCTAAACCCTATGCTTGAAAAGAAGATTCCAAATATATGTGATAAGTAAAAAAGAAAAAGCTGGCAAGGCTTGCCTGCCAGCAGAATCTCGAGGCATGCCCCAAGCTGTCAAGGCGTGCCTGACAAGCCATGAGGCTGCCATGACTTTGCAGCCGCTCAAGCGAGCCAGGGCTGCTTCAGCAGGGACGCTGGCCGACACTGTTTCCTTCTCGGTTTTGGCACGGAGGGAACATGATGAAGGCCAGCTGCGAACTGAGCGCCGCCGTATAACGGATGAAGTGCTGCAGTTTCTGGACAGCCCTGCTTGCCCCTGCGGTGAGCTGCTGCAGCATCTCCAGCTCACCCTGGTCGGCGGCAAGAAGGAGGAAAAGTATGGGTTTCACTGGCACTTCGTGCAGCCCATGGCCCTCCTCTTCTTGCTGACAGAAAGGGTGCCCAGCTTCGGGGACATGTTGCAGCGGATCATGGATGAGAAAGGCCGTTTGAGGATAGGCCTTTATTCCGACGAGACCAAGCCTGGCAACCCGCTTCGACCGGACCATGGGAGGGCCCAGGTGTGTTTTTACTTCACCTGTCTGGATTTGCCCGACTGGGTGAGGTGCCAGACAGGTGCCTGGTTCCACTTCAGCGCCTTTCCGTGCAAGCTGCTCTCCGATGTCCCTGGAGGCCTTAGCCATCTTTTCTGTAAGACAATGGATGTATTCTTTGGTGAGCACTTTCGGTGGAACTTCAAGACTGGGTTTCCGTTGAAGTGCAGCAAAGGTACCTTCCTGGCCCAGGGATCTTTCGAGTGTTTTGTCGGGGACGAGAAGGCCATCCGGGAAACCTTCAGCTTGCGTGGAGCAACGGGCACAAAGCCCTGCTGCCACTGCATGAACGTGCTGGGTCACATGGACAAGCACAGTGTGACGGTACCGGGCCTTGTGCACTATAGCTGCGACGACCCCGGCAAGTTCGTGTTACACAGCAGCCAGACCTTTCGAACAATGTGTCAGAAGCTGGAAATTGCGCCCAAGAAGGATCAAAAGAAGCTGGGCCAGCTTTTCGGCCTCACCATGCATCCAAATGCCGTGCTGTTTTGTGCGCCGTGGAAGGACAGCGTGGACTGCGTTCAGCATGTGTATTGGGACTGGATGCACATTCTTTGTGCCAGCAGTGGCATGGGCCAATACGAGGTCAACGAGTTTCTCAAAATTCTCGTTGACCGGGGCGTGTCTTTGGACATGCTTGATGAGTATGCCCAACAATGGCGGCTTCCGCAAAGGACCAGCAACCTTTGCAAGGGTTTTTTTGCGGAGAGGCTGAACAAGGAGCCGGACAGCTGCTTGAAATGCTTCGCAGGCGAGCTCCTGACGGCTGTTCTTATTCTGGATGCTCTACGGCAGGATGTCTTGAGGCATGTTCCCGAGACTGCGGAGCACTGCAGATGCCTGGCACTGCTGGCCAAGATTTTCCGTATTCTTGGCAGCGGAGACAGGGCGGTGCAGCAGTTGCAGGAGCTGCGCAGATGCATTGCAGAGCATGCCCGCCTCTTCCGCCGGCTTTATGAGAACTGCGTGAAGCCCAAGTTTCACTGGGCTTTCCATGTCCCCGGCTGCATGGAAAAGTTTGGGGTGAACATGTCATGTTTCGTGACAGAATCTCGTTTGCATTTGTGTTTGTTTATACTTATATATATATATATATATATATATATATATATATATGTATATAAAAGTTGGTTTATATAAGTGTTTAGGTTGGGACCCATTATAATTATCAAATATAAGGAGCGCAAGAATGCGGTCGTGAAGAGTCTGGCCACCATTGCCAATGGGAGCCATCTGCAGCAAAACCTGAACATGCGGGCCGCCTACAGCAACGTGAGCCATATACTGCAGAACCCGCTCTTCTTCAGTGAGGTCGGCTTGCGCGAGCCTGTTCGGGACCTGCCTTGGGCAGTGGCTCTGTTGCACAGCGTGCTCCCTGGAGTTCAGCAGGTGAAGGCCGCGAGATTTATGAAAACAGCCAAGGGCACGATCGCTGCGGGAGATACAATCTGGAAGCCCGGCACGGCCGAGGTCATGGTCGTGGACGAGTGCTTGCAAGCTGCGTCGTTGGATGGCGCACAATGGTTGGGCTTTCATGGTGTTATTTGCAATCAAGTGGGACCTGACCTCTTCGAGGCCTCGGAAGAGCGGGGCATACGTGCCTGGAGCTCTGAGCACGAAGCTGTGCCTGTCAAGCTGAGGCTGCGGATTCTGCAGATCTATAGGCCTGGCAGCTGAAAGCAACGCCATGGCGCAGGAGGCTTGCCCCTGCATGCGACAAACGTGGATACAGGGGGTTTTTGCCTCATGGCATGCATGCCATGCATGCAGACTGTCTGACTCCTTTGCGAAAAGAAACAGTTTCCGTGAGTTCATTATCAGGTCCTCCTGAAAGCTTTCGAGAGCATGTGTTGCAAGACAATTGATTCATGTTCCGCCTTTTTGACACGAGCCGGCTCTATAATGCCGTTTTTCGAGAGTGTTCTGCAGGACGAAGGCAGGGCCGTCATCCTCCGGCTTCCGGGCCGGAACGCAACCATGGAGAACATGACAATTCGGCATTGCTTCGCTCTTCAGCGCAATGCAGCGGTGGCTCGGCACCTGCTGCGCAACCATGAGATGGCGGCCCCAGCTCCCCAAAGCCTGCGGTCCGGCACCACAACGGTACAAATGCCAGGAGCAGGTCCGGGAGCGGCTGTGGGTGGCGCATGAGGACCAGCGGCTGCAAAACGTTGTGAGGCTGGCTTGAGGCTTGCCCAGGCATGAAAAGCTGTGAGGCTGGCCTGAGGCTTGCCCAGGCATGAAAAGTTGTCATGGTCTATATGGGCACCCTCGAACTTATGAGCCTTTCTGCCTGCAAAAAGCAAACGTGCTGCTTCCATTGCGCTGTGCCTCCTCGTACTTCAGTGATGTGTGTATGCATATAATGTCTCTTGTTCCGGGTTTCTACTGCTGCAGCTGTTTTAGCAAAACTGTGAAGGCTTGCCTCTCAGAGAGAGGCTTGGACCCGTCGACCAAGGCTTGCCTGGGGTGTGTGTCATGGCTGGCAACCAGGCTACTCCGGAGCCGGAGCAGGGCGCCGTCCTGCAGACCCATGGGAACCAAGGGCTGCAGGAGCAGACTGCAGGCAACCCTGCTGCCGACCAGAGTGCGAACGCCCAGAGTGCCCACCAGAGTGCCAACCAGAGTGCCAACCAGAGTGCCAAGCAGAGTGCCAACCAGACTGCGAACGACCAGAGTGCCCAGAGTGCCAACCCTGCAGACCAGACTGCCCAGAGTGCCAACCCTGCAGAGCAGCAGCTTGCATTGCCGCGAGGCCAGCCGCTTGGCAACCAGGTTGTCGTGGCAGAGCCCGACGAGCCGGCAGTCGCTTGCTGCACCTGCCGCAAGCCGATCACGGTGCAGAACTCGCTTGTCATCGCAAGGGCGACTGGCAAGCAGCCAGAGTTCCGGCGCTGCAGATCGTGCCACAACACCAAAGCTGCAATCAGCAGGCTGAAGGCCAACGCTGGCAACTTGGTGTCCGACTTCGCCCTTGCCACGACGGACAAGGACAAGTGCGAGGCGTTTTTTTCCAAGCACAACGAGCTGAGGGGGAGCCAGCTCAGGGCGGCCTTGGAGGAGACCGTGTCTGACTTCAAGAAGGCAACGACGACCCACGCGTGGAGCGGCACGGGGACGTACTTCGACAAGGAGGACTTGACGAAGAAGTACGAGCACAAGCCGCAGGTGCTGCAGAACATCTTACGCAACACCAACACGCAGCTCGTTATATATGTGTTTAAAGCTTTTCCGTTCTGTATATATATGTTCTAAAACCAGACACTGTTTCTGCTCCTATATACAGATATGCGCAGGTACTGGTGTGCGGTGCGGCAGGAGACCATGTACGAGGACATCGCCTACCAGAGGAAGTCCACGGACGAGCTGCAGTACCAGACCGAGACCAGGCGTCGCGCAAAGGTGCCTTTGCAGGCACCAGAAGGGGAGGCCAACGAGGAGCCCCACTCCAAGCCCAGCGCGGGAAGCAAGCGCAAGGGCAAAAGCCAGCAGGAGGAGGAGAAGCCGGCGAAGAAGCTGAAAGCTGGCGAGAAGAAGAAGCTTCTCAAGAAGACGGAGGCACTGCGAAGCAAGTACTTCGAGTGCCTCGACTACATCGAGAAGTCGAAGAAGCTGCAGGAGATGATCCCGGCCTACGTTGTGCAGGCGACCCAAAAGGTCGTGGATGAGACCTGCAGCATCAAGGACAAGTTCGAGAAGATTTGCAAAGAGGGGGCCGGGGACTATGACGACGATGATATCGACGAGGCCGCGGAGAAGCTTCAGACGGTTGCCCAGCGGATGAAGACCCAGATCGAGCAGGCCGAGAACTTCAAGAAGGAGGCCTGAACTCCGGTTTTTGGAAAGGAGTAGCAAGCAGGGTCACGGGTGCTTGCGGCTACAAACACTATATAGACATACAAAAAACGCAAC